TAATGTATACTGTAAATAAAAGTGGACCTAGGACACTACCTTGCACAACCCCACTTGTGATCTGCCTAGGATGAGACAATACAGATCCAACCTGGGTTATTTGTACCCTGTTGCTTAGAAACGATTTTAACCAGCTCGGTAATGGATTGCGAATCCTACATGAATACAGCTTCTCAAAGAGAATACCGTGAGATACCATGACAAATGCCCTAGATATATCGAAGTAGAGAACAACAACTAGCTTACGTGCTTCGCGACTACTAGTGATGCAGTTGAAAAAGTCGAAGTGGCAAGTAACGCAAGACCTATTTTTGAGAAATCCGTGTTGAGAACTTGTAACAAGATCTTCCCAAAGTAGATAGTCTGACAATTGATCTTTGACAACTTTCTTCATGATTCGCGAGACAACTGGGGTTATATTTATGGGTCTGTAATTGCGGACGTTTGCCTTATTACCGGATTTATAGTTTAGCATTATGAAGCTAGTTTTCCACTCATTAGGGCAAGTTCAAGTGTCCATAGATATTGAGAAGAATTTAAGAAGTAGTAGGAGTATATCACACCCACTGTTTTTGAAAATTATAGAAGCAAGGCCATCTGGTCCCGTGCTAGTAGAAGGTTTCAGGCTTTTAACTGCTTGTTCTATTAATTGGTCGGTGAACACTATGCTTCCGAGGAAAGAGCTAGTAAGGGGGCCGGTTTCACCAGGAATGCGTGTTTCTAAACTGAAGTTTGCATACCACTCACTGAATATTTCACAGATAGTGGCAGGCTCTTTGTAGATGACTTCGTTGTGAAGTAAAAATAGAGGATGTCCCTAGTCGACTGCATTCGCTTTTTAAGGAGTGTTGTTAAGTTATAAACTTTGGAGGCCTGGGTTGACGGTTAAAAAGCATAGTATCAAATGATCTACCCATACACGTGCTATCCGTCATACTAGTACACACTTTCGTGTTGGTTTTATAACTTAAAGGAAATTCAGAGGGAAGGTGCTTTGGTTGCAAGACTTTGGGGGTTTTGGGGCCTGACTTTCTATAAGGTGGAGCATACTGAAAACCACCAGATATATTTGTGTTTCGAGAGGAACTTTTCGTAAGAGGTGAGGGTTTTTTGACAGTCTTTCTCTCAGCAAGCTTATTGAATACAAAGTATTCTTCCCCATCATTAGTCTCAACCCGGCGAAATTCGTTCATTGTGGTGGGGTTACCACGTTTGGGTAAGAATTTCTTAGAACAGCTTGCAGCAGTTCTACCTATTTTAACATCTTTTGGTGAGGCGTTATTTACAGGGGTACTGGTATCTAAATCAGTTCCCAGTTCCATTGGCAAGCGTGGTTGTTGTGTAGTTTGCTGAATGCCAATGTCAGCATTAGGTGACTGTTGCTGTGCACGATCCTTTTATGGTAAATCTAAGCTAGAGGAGGTGACCAGGTTATTACTACGCATTATTCTGCGCTGACACGGTGTTTTATCCTGAGCTATGGTTATAGACTTATAACTGCTGTTCAGTCTTAGGTGATCCTGACATTTAGTAAACTTACTAGAATCAAGGGAAATACTCAACTTAAAAATAATGGGACAGTTAGCCTGGTTAGACTTTTCACGAAGTCTTTTGCATTCACGTGGAACACTAGCCATGCCGCAACAAACCAGGATTTTGTGTTTCACAGTCTTCAGAGGAAGAGAATCTGGGACGTTGTAAACTATAGCCTGGTGAGAAGAGGTTATACGCTTCATCACCTCCACAGCCAAGCAGTCAATCAGATTTTCAGCCTTATTTAGGGTGTCTGGAGACATTTTAGGATGCTTTCTTAACAGACAGGCTATTGGGTCTAAATCCGAAAGCTTGCTTTGGGTTACATCCAGTAAAGACTCAACGTGGCCAATATCAGAACCGCTCTCCGTGATATTTGACATCGGCAGTGACATTCTATCAAACTGACCTAATTTTTCCTGAAGTTCATTTACTTGCCTTTGGATATCTTTCACAAGGAGGTCTAATTTACAGATCTCAGAGTTCTCTAACAGAACATCTTTCATCTGTATCACAGGAGTGAGAATTGCACTCAAGCCATTTTTGTGAGCTAGTAGTTAATGCTGTATTACAGGGTGGTAATGCAGTTATAACCGAGGTTGCGTCACTATCCTAAACAACTGTGTTTCTACGAACACGTTTTTTAGAGATTTGGGCCATAATTTCAAGGATTATATGACTATAAGCAGTAAATGAATATCACAGCAAACACGTGCAAAAATGTCACCAATTACGAACGTACCGCCAATCAAAGCACTTAGTTGACCGTAACTATCAGGAGTAAACGGAACGAAGTTTATGCTAGCGCTCAACCTTGATGACGACCTCAGTGAGGGGCTTATAATTTAACATTTATAAAAACCTGTTCTCACTGCTTCTGCAAAAATCGAACAATTTAAACTTTCGATACTTCACCATAAAAAATTGTAACACAACTGATCGTTTCTGTAAAAATAGCATGCAATTCTTGTAAACCTACCCGTTTATATAAAATATATTAATATTTTGATGCCGTCTTGAGAAATTTTTAGACTTCTTATTTGTGACACGGCTTCCTGCGAAGGCTGGTGAGGCAGTTTCATAAGAAAATAGCGTTGACTCAGGTCTACTAAGAGAACAGGGGGTTTGCTTATCTCTCAGCCTTCACCTTATGGATTGCCCCACCGGTCCTTAACCTTCTTTTCCGCTTCTGTCTGCACCTTTTCTAGGAGATCTCTGAAGTAATTATTAGACAATGATACTATATAACTCATAATGTAATCAGATACAAGCTTTGTTCAACCCTATAGTGATTCAAGTGAGACTTCCCGTACACCTGAACTATAAAAGGGCATATGTATTGATCGCGTCACCCAAGCCATTCACAAGTGTGTAGAACTTTTCGGTTGGGACGAGACTCAAGTCGTCCTTCAACGCTGCAAAAGGCGAATTATTGTCATGCATGGTATAAGTATTTTCCATAATTTTGGCGCGAATAATTTAAGCAATCGAAGTTTTCTGAGATTGCAAGCCGTCCCTTGAATAGAATCTTCTGATACTCCAGGAACTCCAGCCTTGCGAAGAAAAATGGGCTTTAATTACATCTGTACAGATTCAATTTCGGCTTTAAAGCCTGAGAGCAGTGCGCAGCCAATGATCTCGTTTTTTTATTTACAGCTTGATTCCACACCGTATTTTCAGTACAAGTATGGAATTTTCAGCATGGATATTGGTAGCCCAAATTCAGGCCGACCATAGATATCGGGTGTGCGCCGGCAGAGGATCGAACCCCGGACCATGAGCATGGTCGGCGAGAGTCCTAACCAGTGTGCCACCGACGCACATATCATGCCATATCATGAAGGAATACAGTGTTAAATGCCTTCGCAGACCCAAGGATTACCACATTAATTAAGGCATTCATTTCTGATTGTGATGTCTAGCGATTCCTTGGTAACACCATTTTTACTGCACAGAATCCGTCTACATATTTCCCCAAGTGGTCATCAATAAGACTTTGATACGACTGGGAGTAATGGCACTGGTATACAGTTTACTTCCTTTGGCCAATCTATATTTTTGATGGCATGATAAGAGATGGCTCACTTCCACACTTTGTAGAGTGTTGCAGATGATCACGTATATGCCTGCAAAGATCATTTGTTCAATACTTTTGAACCGTTTTTCGACAGTCGGCAAAACTTAGGACTTTATGTTTGAATAACTGAACTATTCACACTGCAAAGTAGTCTCTGTGCCTCTCATAAACTATGAGGAGTGTTTCCCACAAATAAAGGTGATGAGGGGAATGTTGTCCGAAATCACTACTGGAATCATCCACCTTACTATATTCCAGTGTCCATTATGTGACAGTACTGTCTAATTCGCGGTCATTAGACAAACATTCTCTCATTTCGATGTTCTCAAATCTGGTAAAACACAGACAATGTTGCACAGTACCTTGCTCTAGGCTATTGCAGAGACCTAGGTCGAATACAAAATAACTATTGTATAAGTGGGTTTTGATTCGATTTGAACTCTCAGCCTTGTAAACTGCAGAATTATCCCCCAGTAGAGATCAAACTCAATGTGTCAGTAGTTAGCTGTGAGAAAAAATCCTGGGGAAATTTTAGTCTGTGTGCAGCCGTAGTGAAAATGTTTTGTACTAAATGAATGTATTGCACTACAAATATTCTCCTTTTGCATATCCCTGATAGTCACATACTTTCGCTTCTCTCTTGCGTTCAGGCGACATCACTACCTTTCTGGCTAATACCCACTCTCCTTACCTTATTCTCCATTAATTTTGTTAGCCAATTCCCTCAACTTCCCTTCCAGCCTATTAATTCCATTTTCCCTGCATTATTTGACTATCTGGCTGAAGGGTTGCCTGGGGAAGTGAAATTTGCAAATGCTCTGGCACCAATCATGCACCCATCCCCAATACACTAATGTACCTCCTTTTATTGCGTTCAGCAAAGCTAAGGTATTTGTGGAAACAAATTGTACTGAAATCTACCAGAAACCCAGAACAGTTATGACTAAACAACAGACGGGTACCAGTAAATCATAAGTTTAGTATGAGCTAGTCAGAAAGAATATTGGATATAGAATGAATATTTGTCATTGGACCAAAGATCAGGAACCTCTACCTCACAATCAAGAGGCGAGCACAAAGAAATCAAATTGGTTTATTCTAGCTCGTAAAAACGATATTGGATATTGGATTGGACTTAGTGTCCTAAAAGGCGGCAATTCAGTTTAGAGTCATTAGCTACCTTTTGATTTCTTATGTGGACTTTGCCACCATAATGTTGTACTCCGATGGAGAATTAACTAAGCCTCCAGGAGAAGTGATCGAAAAAAAGAAAAAGCAAATTCTGAAAGGCTTAAACGGGAGAAACTGTAAACATATACCACTCAGCTGTTCGACAGAGACGGTCACTCTTTGTAATAACACGGAGTTTACGGAGACTGATGTAAAAGTTATGAACACAACATGTAGTTCTTCGGAGGAGGAGAATGCAATTACAACATTTGCAAATCTTGAAAGTGCAATTGAGTCAAAAGTCTCTGAATTCTTTCATACAAATTGTAAGGATGAATTGTGTTCGGCGCATAACGTAAAAGGTAATGAGGTGCAGTTTTGTGGTTTTTCGACATATTTCGTCATAGGCGTTTGGTAGCACATTTAGTTGTGTTGAAGTGAAGCAAGGTATATGTGAGCATATATATATGCATTTATGTATATTTTATTTGACATTTTATCTTTGGAGTTGGGTTGTTTAACAGTTTATTATGACACAGAATGTTCCCTTTACATTTGATAACCTAGGCCCTTAATCGAGTCTACTTCGCATAAACTGGTTTTCCCGGTCTTGTTCAAAGAAGTGGCTTGAGCTGAAATGTGTATTATCTATAGTTGAACCGCTCCTGTAACGATCCCACTATTAAAGTGGTGTTGGTTATGGGCATCTTTTTCCAGTGTGGTATACCTTACCACTCACACATTAATCTAGATCAACGTACTAGTCGGTTTACGGTGGTTTTATTTAATAGCTCATTTGCCGATCAATTTCTTTGCCTTTGAACTTTATTTAAAATCCTTCCGGTGTGGGGGATAATAACATGAAACAATATGAAGTCAACAAAGTGTCATAAATAAACTTTAGAGCAGAACGAATTAGGTACTCGATAAACAGCATAAGCCAATTAAAATTGTTCCTTGAATCGTCGCAAATTTTACTAGCATTTCAAAATATTAAATGCTGGACATATAGAAGATAATTAGGAAAGGATAAATGCATATTCATAACAATGGTGTCAAACAGTGAATACTATCCGTTTAAGAGTATATTACAACAAATAAGCTTGTTTATCAGTTAGCAGAGTTTGGCGTGTGTTTCGAAGTGCGTTTACTCTTTTCCTTGAAGATTTCGGCACCTTAAATCTTCCTGAGATTCTACACCTCAAAGCAAGATGTAACATGAGCTTAGCAGTAAATATAGGAATATAAGCGTTTACAGCCAGGTATATAGAAATAACACCATTTTGTACATCTCTAACCACGATAAAATGACATATCAAGAAAATTATCTGAGTCATTTTCTTCTGGGGTCTTGAGCTGAGAGAGAGGGCTGTTGTTCATTTCAGAACCGCTGTCCTAATTCTTCAGTTGCCTTAAGTAGCTGAAAGCTCTGGCTAAGAAATGCTGTGAAGTGAATACTTCACAAATAATGTATATATGTTTTAAGTTTTATTTCAGCTAGGTCTGTGCAACATTATGTTACTTGTATGCTTAATTTAATAGATAAGTCGAATTAGAAACAATGCTTACAAATACTTCACGCTTTACGATCACTTAGTATCTTTGTTCTCCCAACTTTAAGTTCTTTTTCACCGCTCTTGATGCAATTAAAATGGAGAAAGCCAAGTAATATGCTATTTTAAGCACGTTATCACTCAAACAATGTGGTGATGCTTGCTTTCCCATGGTGTTGGATAACACTAAGGTAATATAATAGTTTGTCGAAAGTTGAAGTACATTAGAAATCAAATACAAATACAATGAGATAAGTGGCGAAAGATAATAATAATAATGGCTTTATTCCAAACAGTATTTGTGGTACAGGTATGGAATTTCCAGCGTTCATTACAATATTGCATCTAATTACCTCATAAATATTATAAGAATTTAAAAATAAAAAGCAACGACAACAAAAGAAAAAAAAGAGAAATAGAAGAAATAAAAAAAGAACAGTATTGCGTTCACATATTTAAACAATACAGCACAGGATATGATATATAAAATTAGTCTGTAATAGAATATATGAGCAACAATATAATAGTAACAAAGAAAGGAGAACAAAAGCTAATGGGAACTATTTGTTAGAGTGCCGCAGTAAGGTGATCGTGTCATGCCTAACAGTTTTCACATCACATTACAGCTGTGCCAGATAGGGTATTGTGGAGTTTTTATACTTGGTAGTCCTGGCATATAGCTTCCTATAGTTACTTCTAGTTCTACCAGATGAAATGCAAGGAGAGAGCTGTGTATAGAGAGGATGCTCAGGGTCTGACAATATAGTATTCGCTAGTTTCTTACATGACATTATATGTCTATCCACTATGGTGTTAACCAGTTGGTTTAACGATATCCCACTTGCCCTACTAACAGCTTTTAGTGCCCTACGCAGTGAAGCAAAGTCTTTCTTAAGTAGTCCTGGAAAGATTAATGGGGAGCAGTAAAGAGGGATGGGTAGAATACAGGAATTGACAAACTGAGAAAGCAAAGACTGCTTTATACCAGACTGCCTAAACTTCCTAACGTAGAACGTTAAGCGAAACATCTTTCTAGTAACTAGCAAGATGTGAGAGGACCAGGAAAGATCGGAGGAAATACTCAGTCCAAGGTACTTGACATTTGATGTAGTTTCAACCTCTATGCCGTCAATGATATATAGATATACCTCAAAATCTAAGGCTTCGCTCATTCCGTCTTAAAATTACACTAAAAGATTATCGTACAGTGAAATAAAATACATATCTAGTAGTGCTTAATTACTAGTGATTCCTGTTCCCTATGCAGTGCACTTTAAAATTTGTGAAAGCTTCAAAAGCTTTGAAGTGAAATTTACTCTAACTTCGTTTAACTTACACTCGTTGGCTTGTATGGTGTCGCAATCATCAAGTCTAACACAACTCATAAATGTATAATCAGTTCATAAAAAGGGTGTGTTATTTGAGCATCGGATTATCTTCTAGTGATGTTAAAAGGTGGTTTGGTCTTTTAAAATGATTTAAAAATTGGTCAGTTGTAGCAAATCTTCTTATATGTCGTTTACAAGAATTGATTGTTTCTGACATTTAATCAGAATACAAATTAAAAGTTTCCTCTCAAATTATGAGTTTGTCTGTCTGTCTGTCAATAATGTCTTCTTCAAGACGTCTTTTAGTTCATAATGTAACGGATTTTCCCTAAAAAATCATCAAAAAACTGATTTCAAGAAGATGCATTACTTTTGTTGATAAAAATATATTTCTAGTTGAAGTGTTTCAAGACAAGGTTTTTTAAAACGTTTAGTTCCCTTTATGAATTTAGACAAAGCAATAAGAAAACGTAATTTGCCTGAATCGTGCTATGTATGTATTTGCGCGCATAACGCATTTCGAACAATCTGATCACACTCCACGGACTTGTCATAGGATTGTATATATATGAAATTAATAGAGTTAACAGGTGAGAAAATAGACTTAAGTCAAGTTAAAGGGACACATTCAAGGTCAAAATAACAATGAAGACTACTAAACCAAATAACAACGATAACACTAAATCTACCCTGGCTGGTATCAAAACAAAACTTACCAATGAAGGTTCAGCGTGATGGCGAATTGTTGGTTTGAACGCATAAAGGTAATTTAAACTTTCTAAATGCCAGCTAGGGCTTCCACAAACTTTAGGATACGCCTTCCCCAAACACGTTATGTAGATAGGTTTGAAAGATGTGTTAACCTCAGTTTTATGTCCTGTCTCCTCTGTAATATGTTCCTCAATAGAGGAGCTAGTTCTCCTGTTCTCACCATTAATTAATGGGTTCTGAAGATTCTACTTGTGTCTGAAGCCATTTAGGAATATGCTGTGAAGCCAGCCCTTACTTGCAGAGATCAATGAGTCCCCCCTCCTCTGTATGTGTATGTATGTCCACTCGTACATACAAATTGGTAAACACAAGGTTTTTTGCAAGAACTCACCAGTCAGCCATTGTCTGTAATATCATTTAAAAGTTGGCGGAGGGAGTTAATCTGCAGATGAGTTTTTCGTCAGAAACACTTTTCATCCTGATTAGGAATTCAATAATGTCCTTCTTCCTGTTTATTAATCCCCTCGTTTTAGTATGTCAAATACCTAAACAGCTGTATAGTAAAGGCTAACTTGTTTTGGATTAATCAACTGTTATCACTTATTTCCTTTCAGTTTACAAGCTGCTTTTTAACAATAATACTAATAATAATACTGGATAGGTGTGTTTTGACTAACTTTGAAAGCTTCAATTCCAGAATACTAATTAAATAACAGTCGTTATCTCTTTCACTTCAAGAAGCTTTCATCACCATAAACTTTTATTTCTTTAGATTAGTTAGTTTACCTGGTTCAAAAATCCTTTTTGTTTTTGCACAAAACGTTCTTTGATTTATTAATTCCCTCAAGTCCCTCGAATGACTGACTGACTGCTTGGTTTCAACATAGATATTTGCACCGATGTGCAGCAGTTCGAGTCACCCGACTGATAGCTGCTACCTTGACATGGTGGTTGGGCTTGTATATCGCAATGACTCGAGAACATACACCGGCTGGAACTATTGTTCCTGCACGTCCTACCATGCCAGGAAGATTGTAAGGATATCGATTAAACTAAAAGCATTTACCGGTATAGTGTAAGGATTTGTGGGCAAAGTAGTACTGCTGGGGAACAGGAGTAACAGCAGTAATGTATTTCCCTCAGATGACCAGCATAATTGCTAGCTATGCTGTCTCTCCTCCTCTGGAGAGAGGAGGTTAGAAACGGCCGACGTCAAAATTTGTACATCCTGACTTACCCTACGGTGGGGGTCCGTAACCGGCGGTAAGTTTTCTGTAACGGAATCAGTTCAGACAGACCGTGTGTGACTGGCCTCAAAGCGAAACAAAATCTATTCGCAGTGCTATTCTATCTCATCTTGTGGATACAGAACACAAGATTGATGTTAACCAGGCTTTCAGGGGCATTTACCGCATACTAACAAATCTCAATTTCGCCTTAAGAGTTCGACTGCTAAATATTGCTGAGGCTGACTGTTGGGATCCACATTAAGAAGCCTAATTTGTGCGTCTAAAAGAAGTTAGTTCGGACACTATCTTCACCCTACGGTTTTCCGTAACCGGCGGTAAGTTTTCTGTAACGGAATCAGTTCAGACAGACCGTGTGTGTGGCCGGCTGGCCTCAAGCAGTTATCTACGGGGATCTGCGGTCATGTAACACTAACCGTCTTTTTGTTTCAGTTACTCCAAGAAGGAAAATCAACTTACACAGTGTGAGAAGCAGGGAATTATCAACCGCACACACACACTTCTAAAAGCACACGAAGCCTTCCTGAGTATCGCTCTCCTTTATTCATCCTCGAATCATAATCTTAACTGACCTGAGGTGGTTAGGTTCCTCCTTTGATTGTTTGTTTTGTTGCTGTTGTTGGCTAGTTCCCGACATCAATTTGTATGAGATTTATGCTTTTTCGAGTTTTAAAGTTTTTTGACGAAATTTGCAAGTAGCTTTGTTCTTAATTGAAGGAACTAAAGAAATATGCACTGTTAAAAAACACTAATGTGATGCTTCTGAAATCATCCTTGTGTCAAGTGTTGCATTGTAGGAGTTTGATTGGTTACAGGATCTCATCATGAGTTGACATTGGTTAGAGAACCACTGAAAAACCAACAGGGAGTACTGGACAAGCAGTTGTTTCGTCCTTCTAGTTTGGGACTCTTCATCAGTACGCACCCACCGGGGTTCGAACCCAGGACCTTCTGCTTACAAGGCAGGCTCGTAGACCATTAGGCCACTGGGACTTGCCCTAATCAGGTAGGTACCTGATTACCTGGGGTTCTGGTGAGAAGTCGTAACCAGTAGGGTGCAGCAGTTGGTAGGTTGTGAGGACAAATACTCGCTGAAGACATTGGCTACTGGTTACGCTATGTTGTGCATTGGCAGAAGTTAGAATTCATGGGCAGGCCATTAGATCGGGTCTCAGTTGCTGAATGGCATACGAGCTCACTAGTTTTGTAACCAGAAGTTCCTAGGTTTGAACTCCTGACGAAGAGTCCCAAAATTGAAGGACGAAGTAACTGGCTGTCCAGTAATCCCTGTTGGTTTTCAAGTGGTTCTCTCCCTAACCAATGTCAGCTCATGATGAAATCCTGTAATCCTTGTGTCAAATAGTCTAAATGTACGACACATCGTAGTGTTTATGATCTAAAAGCTGTACTTCATAAACCATATTTAATATTTTGGTTAGAAGATTCTTAATTTCATGCACTTGTGAGTGACAACTGTTGGCAGGGTGTTATTGACCTTTCAAAAGGCTTCTAATCATTCCTGGTATTGAATAAGTGTGTAATTTTATTGCTTAATGCTGATAATTTAAATTTTGTTGGATGTTTTATGGAGCACTGTGGATTTCTTTTTTTTATTGATTTAACTTTCTTCAAATTTACTGTACTGATCGATGCACATTACGAATCCTTCAGATAGCGTTCTAATTCAGCTTTTCTTTGTGTGTTCTATTATTACTCCAATATTTGGTTTGTACAAAAATAACAGATATGTCATGCATTCAGGATAAAGTTATTCAACTATCTGAAATTTAGTTAAATTACAACTAGGAATGCGGCAAAGCGAAGAGTATTCCCTGCTACCGAATTACGCTGTGTCTTCAAAACCACTCCTATTTTGCGTTCGGGAGTATAAAAGATAAATTGTATTTACAAATTTAACTGCTTCTGTGGAGCCAGGCGTGTTTCTGGTCGGATTTCTGAACATTACCCCTGCATAGTGGTTGATTAAGTAAACGACAAACAAAATCTATTCACATAGCGCTATTCTATCTCATCTTGTGGATATAGAACACAAGATTGGTGTTAACCAGGCTTTCAGAGTCATTTACCGCATACCAACAAATCTCAATTTCGCCTTAAGAGTTCGACTACTAAATATTGCTGAGGCTGTTGAGATCCACATTAAGAAGCCTAATTTATGTATCCAAAAGAAGTTGGTTCAAACACTGTCTTTACCTTAGCCATCAAGGTTCTAATGATCCTGAAATTTTGTGGAATTTTCCTAATTTTAGTTGATATTCAGTTTGCTACTGTATCTTTATTATTATTATTATTATTATTTATGCATCTTTAATGTACTGTAATTCCATTGTGATCTTACTTAACAAATCGATATTATTCTAAAAAAAACACAAATATTGTTATTAACTACTATTCTCGGATATTCTATGTATATAAACATATGTATATATAATTGTAGAACCAGAAGAGGGAATTATCTGTCGAAAAGGATATTGTTTGCTCAATTATCTTGTGTTTAATAATCAAATTGTAGGGAATTTTCAACTCTACCAATCATATAGTCAATTTTTCAGATTAGATGGTTCAGTACGAACTCAGGGCATCAAAGGTTGTTTCTTTTCTCTCTCTCATCTATCCTACGCGAAGATGTTGTTTCCTCAGAATCAATAAGTTGATCACTATAACCGAATATATATGTATGCTAGGAATTACGTGAGGATTCTAATTTCGGTTCATCTATTGGTGATTCCACTGTAAAATCCTCCTCCGTCACCTATGCGGTCCTAGTTCGATTCTGGGCCGATGCACCTCTCAACCCAGCCTAGTCGATAGTAAGCCCGATTAAGAAAGAAGGTTGAATGTGAGGCTAGCAGCTGGAACTTCATAGTTCAAGCTTGAAGTCCTGTGTTCCACTTGGAACGTTGTAAAGGAATATAAGAAAAGGAATGATTCGCATTTTGGTCGGATTTAAACTTGATCACCTTATTTCTGTTGATAAAAGCTCTATATTTTTTTTAATATGTATTTTTCGTCTCTGCTTATCTTGCTTTTTTTAGATAATTGTTTTATTTCTGTGATCCAGTCACGAAGACGTATCTACTTTCACCTATGGTTGCGTATAGCTATGGATTATCGATCTGCGCGTGTTCTACACACCTTTAATCTGCTTAAGTCAACTTTAAATCTTTGGAAATGTGGTATCCTTTTTGTCTAGTCTGATTTGTGTGTGTGTGTTTACATTCTTGATGAATAACGACTTCAATTCATTAAATGTGATAGAAATTACCTCCTTTCACATTGATTATGAACTGAGTTCTGTTATAGAACGATAGAGAGCCTGAGGAGTACTGGACATTTGTTTCGTCCTTGATATAAGGGTAAAACTTGGGCACTGTGGTGGTAGAGTATAACTCCATTGTGGATTAGATTTTATTTTAATAAACCACACAGTGTTGTTATACAATAATACTGACTGGTAACCACGCTTCGAGCACAATTTATCATTGCCACTCATAATCAGGGTACTCAAACAACTTTCTAACTTCGTTTATATACATGAGTGGAATTGATGATTAGACATTTGAATAAAAATCAATATGGGATAATGTACATTCAGACCCAATGAAGCAAAATAATATAATTTACAAAATACCTTGCAATGACTGTGAGTTGTGGTCAACTACATAGGTCAAACTAGTAGATCGGGGGTAGTTAGATTGTCGGAACATAAGAATTTAGCTATGGTAAGAATGGGTGACCCCACTCGTCAAGATAAGTATATGTTATATTATTATTGTTCCCCTGGGTTCCTAGTGGAACATAGGGCTTCAACTGCGCGTCTCCACTTGCTTCTGTCTTCTGCTGTACTTTCCACCTGCATCCATGTTAGTCCATACTGTTTCAACTCCCCTTCACACGATCTCCTTCATGTCACCCTTGGACATCCCACTCGTCACTTCCCTTTCGGGTTTCACTCGAAGGCCTGACGTGTGTCGGTGGCACAGTGGTTAGGACTCTCGCCGACCATGCACATGGTCCGGGGTTCGATCCTCTGCCGGCGCACACCCGATATCCATGGTCGGCCTGTAAATTCGGGCTACCGATATCCATGCTGAAAATTCCATACTTGTACTGAAAATACGGTGTGGAATCAAGCTGTTATCAAAATAAAAAAATAAATAAAAATGTCACCCAATGGCTTCCTCAGCGAGTGTCCAATCCATCTCCACTTTCTCTTGCATATTTGTTTAGCGATTGGTTCATGTTTTGTTTCTTCCCATAGTTTCTTGTTGATGATTCTTTCCGGCCATCTGATCTTCAGTATAGAACGAAGACAGCTGTTGTTGATAAAGGTCTGCAACAGGCTGTTGGAAATATTTTTTGTGACACACTGGCCAAGTTTCTGATCCGTATAGAAGAACTGACTGACTTGACGTTTGTATTGAAAATCCGAATTTTGTTGCTGATGGTGAGTAACGAAGATTTCCAGTTTGATTTCAGGTTGATGAATGTGTCTCTCGCCTTCCCGATTCTCGATTTGACATCGTCGTCCCTTCCTCCTGTAGTTGAGACAATGCTCCCTAGATAAGTGAATGAAGTAACCTCTTTCAAATCCCTCCCTTTGATGGTGATTGGCGCTGGATGTTGCTGCTGTTGTTGTTGTGGTTGTTGGTTGGTTATTTTCATAACCTCCGTCTTGTCTATGTTCACCTGGAGTCCTGTCTTTGCTGCTTCTTCGACCAGTTTGTCGGTTTTCGCTTGTAAGTCTCGCAAAGATAAGTAATTTAGAAAAAAGCTCAGCAATTCCATTACACGCATTAAAACAGAACCACACAATAGGACGAGAGAGGGTTAAAATTCTAGGAAGTAATCTATGTAGGTGGAGAGAGAGGTTGACTACTGAATCCTGCCTGATTCATCCAGTCTAAACCCACCACATGCAACAGAAATGATTCAATGCAAATACCAGAGATGTGGAAGATATTAATACCACCAGTCAGTCAAATCGGAGGAGGATAATAAATAATCTTAAATTGTATTCTATTTCAATTCAATTCACGTACATCATGACATTCTAACAAGTTACTTATTTTGACTGTAAAAACACTCGTCTTATTTCCCATCTGACTGTATTTGATCAACAACACTCATATTATTTTTTCTGAATGTACATTATTCTATATTGATTTTTATTCAAATGTCTATTCATCAAAAGTTGTGTCAGTTATTTTGATATGATTATGAGCAATAATAAATTGTGCTCAAAAGGTGGTCATCAGTTAATATTACTGTATAACACTGTGTGATTTATCAAAATAAAATCTTATCCATAATGGAGTGTTTCATCCTTGTATGGAACTACTAATCAGTATTCACCCAAAACTTTCAAGTTACAAGACCAACTTGTCGTAGACCATTCACAGCCATTGTGACCTGATTCAATGGCTCATAAATTCTTACTTCTACCCGTCAGTGATATATATCACACAGCCCTCAACCAGTGCCATTGGCAAGTATTTGTCTTCAAACCCAACTTTCCTGGTCAAGACTTCTCACTAGAACTGTAGACTGTCTATTACTCCATGGATTTTCATGGTTCTCTAACTGAAGTCAGTTCGTGATCGATCTTGGAATCAATGAAATCCCAGGAAACGAACTTTTGAAAATATCTTTGAGCTTTAAAATCTCTCCTCATTTGAAAGTTGCGGTTTCAATTTTATTATTATTATTATTTAGATAAAGCAATAAGAAGACATAATTTGTCTGAATCATGTAATGTGGATATTTGCGCAACACATTTCGAACAATCTGATCACACTCCACGGACTTGTCATAGGAACATACATGGAATTAATAAAGAGTTAAGAGATGAGAAAATAGACTACTTAGGTCAAGTTGAAAGGACATGCTGAAGGTCAAAATACCAATAAAGACCGTTAAACCAAATAACAGAGGTAATAGTACATCTGCTCAGGCTGGTATCAAAACAAAACTTACCAATGAAGGTTCAGCGTGATGGCGAATTGTTGGTTTGAACGCATAAAGGTGGTTTAACTTTTCTAATTGCCAGCTGGGGCTTTCACAAACTTTAGGATACGCCTTCCCCAAACACGTTATGTAGATAGGTTTGAAAGATGTGTTAACCTCAATTTTATGTCCTGTCTCCTCTGTAATATGTTTCGCAATAGAGGAGCTAGGTCTCTTGTTCTCACCATTAATTAATGGGTTCTGAAGATTCTGTTTGCTTTTGGCGCCATTTAGGAATATGCTCTGAAGCCAGCCCATACTTGTAGAGACCAATGAGTCCTCCCTCCTGTGTATGTGTGTGTGTCCACACGTACATTCAAATTGGTGTGACATCATTTTTCGCATGTCCGAAGGGCTTAGATAGATATATTGGCTTCACATTCTCAATTATTATGATATTAGCTGCATAGAAAGTCTTTTTAACAGCAGCAGCGTTCAGTCTTTGACTAGTTCTCGAGCTACTATGATGCCTCATATAGGGTGGCGTGATGTACACGTCCGTGTGTGGCGGATCAGATTGTTCGAAATGTGTTGCGCAAATACGTACATGACACGATTCAGAAAAATTACGTCTTCTTATTGCTTTATCTATATTCATAAAAGGGAACTTATTGCTTTAAATTATTATTATTATCGTTATTTGAAACATTTAGTCCATTTATAATTAATTTAGACAGGGTTAGCATTACACTGAGAAATATAATCAGACAGGGATTACTAAGGTAGGTCATGAGTTTAGTTTCTTTTGGTTTAAGTTTACGAATAACTAACTCCTCTGCGTAGATCAGTAATCACCCCTGACTGTTGTTGTTATAAATAACCTTGAAGACTGTTTTGATATCAGTCCCGGGATTCATGTGAATTAAGCGTTTTACTCTATAGACAGATTCGGCAATTTGCCTTTGCTGCGTTTATCAGGGTTTCAAAATTCATTTATTTCCCTCCCACCGTCACGAGCGAAACGCAATCACTGCTTCTGATGTATGTTTGACCACACACACACGCACACATGTAAAGTGCTGTATAGTATAGGATGTTGCGTAATCACTTGTGCACTGTTGAGACTGATAGTAAAGCATGTTTTTGGCTTCTTTGATATTGGTAAGCCAGCTTGAATAGTATATTCTATGAATGGCTTAATTTAGTCTTTATCCTACTATCCTTCTGTTTATTTCCCCATTTTAAGGTATTCTGATGCTGATATCTATCGTTGAGACAGAACAGATTGTTGGTTGGAGGATTTTATCATGAGCTAACATCAGTTAGAGAACCATTGGAAAACCACCTGAGAGTACTGGACAGCCAGCTGTTTCGTCCAGTACGCATCCACCGCCAGGGCCTTCTGTTTACAAGGCGAGCGAGCTCGTAGACCATTAGGCCATTGGGATCCCACCCAATGGCCATCCAGTCCATGAATTCTAACTTCTGCCAATTCATGGCATAGCGCAACTACTTCACAATATCATTTCCGATGAGTTACTGCCTCACTTTCAACCTGCTGTAGCCTACTGGTCACGGCTTCCCATTAAAACCCCAGGTAACTAACTACCTACCTGAATAGGGTCAGTCGCTAGTGAGCATCAGGTCAGTTTTCAAGTATTAGTTTTGTAGGGATTTATGTTTTTTGATTGGTTGGAGGTGGGTGCATGCTGTGAAGTGATGAACAGTTCCAAAATAAGACGAAACAGCTGTCTGGCAGTACTCCCAGGTGGTTTCTAATGATTCTCTAACTGATGTCTGCTCATGATGAAATCCTCCAACCAATCAAACAAAATCCCTACAAAAACCAATATTTGAGAAATGTGGAATTGTTCGGGTTCACTCTTTTGTTATTCAAATATGCTAAAGGAAATAAGGTATTTGAAATGTTCTGTCTGTCTGTCTGTTTTCGACAAAGAACTGTGCACCGATGTGCGGCAGTTCAAGTCGCCACACTCCCTCCATGTAGCACACAAAGCAAGAGAAGAAAGTAGGAGAAATGCATAATATAGACAGTAAACAGAGGTGTGAGACAAAGGAATAGTAATAACGAAGAACAAAACAGTTTCATTGGAAATCATAATTTTACAAGGAGTGGATGCATCTGCGCCAGCCGTTGAGAACGATTTTGAGCCATATCACCGATTGTCTCCAGCCTCCATTGATGTTTATCGTCCCGAGGCCCCCAACTAGTCAGGAAGTGTACACCTTCCTACGTGGCTTAGACTAACTGTTGCAGATTTCATTGACTGGTGCCATGTTTTGGTTTGACCACCAATAGCTCTTTTCCAGCCTGACCCTATATCAGCTAACATTGCCCGTCAGTCGATGAAGGCGATGACTAGGCATACGTAACACATGTCCTAACCATCTCAGTAGATGTAATTTCACAGTCTCGATTGATTTCCCCTCCTTACCTAGCACTCGACCACTGCCTAACCTCAATATTGCTCACCTTATTATACGACTTCACCTGGGAGATAGAACGCAGATACCTATGATCGAAGACAGCTAATCTTTTCATGTCTTCCACTGTCAATGGCCAGGTCTCACAGGCATAAAGGAGGACAGAGCGCACTGATGAGGAGTACACACGTCCTTTGAAATGTTAGAATTCATCTGTAGCTAAGAATGTGAGTGTCTCGACTGAGTTGTTCTTCTTAGCTGGACTTGTGATCAATAAATATTCTACTATAAGATTTCATTGTGAAACACGGATTATTATTATTACTGTTATAGTATTATTCCCATGGGTTTTGAATGAAACATCGGTCTTCATCAGCACATCTCCATTTCATCGTTTTCTCTGCTGTCACCTTTATTTAGCTGGATCCACGATTCCGCTTTGTTCACACACAATCTCCTTTATGTCATCCTCGGACTCATATCTATCTCGTCGCCATTGCTATTTGTGTTTTAATCGAGTGTTTGCCTGAAGCATAATGTCACTCAACGGTCTCCTCAGTGCACCTTCAGCCTATCCCAATTTCATTCTGTGCATTTTTTTGGAGGGGGGTGCGGGTGGGCAATAGGTTCTTTCTTGGTTCGTTATAACCATCAGAGAAACCTAATTCCCCTTGTCGACTTGAACCACCGTTACACTAGCTACTTCAGGTAATTAAGGAGCCTTGGAACAATATTCTTTGAACAAAGCAAGAACAACGACAGTTTTTGCAGAATAAAGTGGTATCATCATCATTGGTGATTTCGCTGCCTTCTCATCAGCTGCTTACAGGCCAAAGTCATTATTAAGTACATCTACAGAAACAATTTTAATACACTTGCACCGAGACTTCATTTTAAACAAAAATCAATATATATATGCATACAGTAATAATATATATATATATGTATATTATTCAACACTATTCCGAACAATAGTGATCATACACAATGGAAACTTTCGAAATTACGTAATCAGGTGAAAAAGAGATGAAAATATCCAGTTACCAGGGCAAAGAAAGGCTGATAACTGGTTCTTTCTGGACGCATAAATTTTGTTTCAGGCGTTTGATGGAAATGGCTTCAGCAAACTTGAGGAGAACTGACCTATTTTGCCTATTGATAATTTTGAGCGATCGCCAGGCATCTTCTTGACACGGGTGATGTATGAGGTGGACGTGGCGAAATCGTTCAAAATTATCAATAGGCAAAAGAGTTCAATTCTCGTCAAGTTTGCTGAAGCCATCTCTATCAAGCGCCTGAAACCTGATTTATGCGTTCAGAAAGAACCAGTTATCAGCCTTTCTTTGCCCTGTCTGGTAACTGGATATTTTCATCTCTCTTTCACCTGACTACGTAATTTCGAAAGTTTCCATTGTGTATGATCACTATTGTTCGGAATAGTGTTGAATAATATACATATATATATATATATTATTACTGTATGCATATATATATATTGATTTTTGTTTAAAATGAAGTCTCGGTGCAAGTATATTAAAATTGTTTCTGTAGATATACTTAATAATGATTTTGGCCTGTAAGCAGCTGATGAGAAGGCAACGAAATCACCAATGCTGATGATACCACTTTATTCTGCAAAAACCGCTGTTGTTCTTGCTTTATTCAAATTCATTAAGGGGAATAAATGTATGAAATATTCTTTGACTTATTGGCTTCTACAGTTCAAGTATATAAGGAATAACAACTATCTAAAGTTTCTTAATAATACACTAGTGTTATTATTTATTTTAGTATTCTGAAGCTTGTAAGTTATTTTATCACCCCTTTCTAGTGTTTTTGCTTTTTTTTTTTGCAAAGCTAAATCTCCTTAGCCTTGTTCAGAGTTGAATTCTCGAATTTCACTTAGATTTCAGCAGAAGAAAGCCGAAAATCATTACTGTGCTACATTGAAGGTAATAATTACTTTTCGAAAATTAATTCATCACTTGATTTTGTTTTATTTATAACTGAATGGTTAACGAACTCGCCTGGTGGTGGTGGTGTTGGTGGTAACCTGAAGGTCCTGGGTTCGACTCCCGGTGGGATCTCGGGTGAATAATCCACACAGGACGACCTGTTACGGCCAAGGGCGGGAAGATTATGGTCTTTCTCTTGGAATGCTGTTATGTAGCCACCTGTCCATAGTCTCTGTCAGGAATGTTCTATCCACTGCCATTCGCAAAAGTGAAACGGGCGGATACAAACATCTGGAAAACCATGTACATGGGTGTTCCATAATCCGAATGGATCCAAAAAGCGTATGAATCTGTTTTGGGATTGACTTGTTACCACCAGGGAATAATCTTATTGACTTAGAATATGCAGATGATATAGTCCTCTCAACTAGGTGAAGACGCTGACAAAATAGAGCAGAGACTTCTGAACACCCTGAGTTGCAATCTGCGAATGCTTGGCATGCGATTCGCTCCCTCCAAATGTAAGATGATGAGGCTACAGGACTGGACTACATTGACTCCTAGCTTAGAAATAGGGGGTGAAGTGGTAGAGCATGCTGACCACTTCACTTATCAAGGAAGTTGTATCAGCCAACGCCAGTGGTTTGATCGCTGATGAAATCTCAGCACGGATATAGAAGGCTCGTTTCGCATATGCCAGTTTACGCCGTCTCTGGCGTAGATGTGATAGCCAGCTGTCGACCAAAGGACGTGTGTACTGCTCAGCAGTTCTCTTCGTCCTCCTTTATGGCTGTGAGACCTGGCCTTTGAGAGTGGAGGACATGAAAAGACTGGCTGTCTTTGATCATAGGTGCCTGCGTTCTATATCCCGTGTGAAATGTCATAATATGGCGACCAATATTGAGGCTAGGCGTCGGTTGAGCTCTAGGTAAGGGGGGGGAGGGGAAATCAATCGATGAGGCTGTGAAGTTACATCGACTGAGATGGTTAGGACATGTGTTACGCATGATTAGCCATCGCCTTCCTCGACTGACGGGCATTGTTAAGTGACATAGGCTGAGGTTGGAAAAGAGCTAGCTACTGGTGGTCAAACCGAAAAACATGGCTTCATCAGTCAATGAAATCCACAGCAGTCAGTTTAAGCCACGTAGGAAGATGCAGACTTCCTGACTGGTTTGGGTCCTCGGTACAGTAAAAACCAATGGAGGCTGGAGACAATTGGTGATATGGCTCAAAATAGTTGTCAATGGCTGGCGCAGATGCATCCACTCCTTGTGACTTATAATACCCAATAAAACTATATTGTTCTTCGATATTAATATTCTTTCTGCCCGATATCTCTATTTACTGTCTGTATTTTGCGTTTCTTTGTATACTTTCTTCTCTTGCTTTGTGTGCTACATGGAGGGAGTTTGGTGACTTGAACTACTGCACATCGGTGCAAAGTTCTTGTTGAACAGACAGACAGAGACATTACCAATGTGGAACGAACTTCAAGTTAAGGGCCAGGAGGTGGCCCCATAAGACAACTATATGTTTTGTTCTAGGCGTTCAGGCAGTATCCTAGCCCTTGCAAAAACTACGCGTTTTTGTCTGGTGCCTCTCTTAGTGTTTCAACAATTTTAATAATAATAATGAGTTATGTATTCGTGCTTAGAATTTGTGTTGTCTTTTCTTTGTTTTTTTTTTCTCAAGACACGAACATTAATCGCCTGGATATTATACACAAGAATGAGACGATCAAAAAATGCCTTGAAGGATTCAGCAAAGACACATTACCGTCAACAGGTAAACTTAAAAGTGATTTTCTACCTGATTAATGAACGGTTAACTATATCTCATCTCTTTCGCTGACCATGCACATGGTCCGAGGTTCGATCCCCCTGGCGACGCACACCTGATATCAATGGTTGGCCTGCAAAATTTGGGCTACCGATATCACATGCTGAAAATTCCATACTTGTACAAAAAAAGTGTGGAATCAAGCTGTAATAAAAAAATACATAGTCAATGTACTAATAATAATTGGTTTCTGAAATGATGTATCCTTCATGTTCGACAGCATTCTGTCCAACATAACGTTTCTATGCCACTGACAATAATGAAATCTTCCAGTGTTAATTCGTGGGGATTTAATTGGTTTGAAATTCGATCACAAAGAACTGAAATTAGTTAGAGAACCATTGAAACCCTGAAATCCTGTAGCCAAACAAATCAAATCCCTGCCAACCAACATTCTCAAGATATTGACTGTTAATATCAGGAGGGCAGTATACATCTCCTCCCTAAGTGGCTAGTTAAAGCCATTTGTCGAAGAATTCATGGGTTGATTTGACCACCCTCAACCCATGTCAATTAATATTGCTCGATGTGGAAGGCGATTGTTAGACATGTGTAACACGTATTCTAGCCGTTTCAATCAATGCAGCTTCACAACCTTATCGGTTGAATTGCCCTCCTTACTTAACAATCTATGAAGTATAAATATTAGCATCAGATGGTTTTTTAAGTAGAAGCAAAACTTTTGTCTTCACGTTATTAACTGACTGTCCCCATTTCTATTCGATTTCATCGTAGACGTACTACTAATGGACATAACCCTAACTCACTTCAGAGACTCAGGGATTGACTTGTTACCAGGCAGTAATCTCGTTGACTTGGAATATGCAGATGATATAGTCCTTTTTTAGTGAAGACGTTGACAAAATTCAGAGTCCTCTGAACACCTTGAGGGGCAGCAATCTGCGAATGTTTGGCATGCAATTCACTCTCGTTAAATGTATGATGATGAGAATACAGGACTAGACTACATCGATTCACACCTAGCTTAAAGATAGGCAGGAGTGAAGTGGTTGATGGAGCGTGTTGACCACTTCACTTATTTGCGAAGTTGCATCAGCCAACGCCAACGGGTTGATCGCTGACGAAATCTCAACACGGATACAAAAGGCTCGTTTTGCATGTGCCAACTTACACCATCTCTTGCTTAGTAGACGTGATATCCAGAGCTGATGACCAAAACGCGTGTATCCTGCTCAGCTCATCAGTTCGCTCCGTCCTCCCATATGACTGTGAGTGAGATATGGCTATTGAAAGTGGAAGACAGGAAAAGACCAGATAACTGTCTTTGATCATAGGTTCCTGCGCTCTATCTGCCATGTTAGGTGGTATAGTAGGGTGAGGAATATTGAGGTTAGGCTTCGGTCGAGTGCTAGGTAGGTGGGAGGAGAAGTTAGTCGAAGGGGCTATGAAGTTACACAGATTAAGATGGTTAGGAAATGTGTTACGCATGCATCCCTAGCCATCGCCTTCCTCGACTGATGGACAATGTTAGCTGAAATAGGATGGATGAGGTTGGAAAAGAGCCAGTGGTAGTAGTGGTCTAACGAAAACATGGCTTCATCAGTCAATGAAATCCACAACAGTTAGTTCAAGCCTGTCACGTTAGGAGGCGTGGACTTCCTGACTGGTTGGGTTCCCGTATGGTAAGAACCAATGAAGGCTGGAGACAATTGGTGATATGGTTCAAAATCGTTGTCAATGATTGGTGCAGATACATCCACTCCTTGTGTCTTATAGTATCTAATAAAAATCTATTGCTCTTCCATATTGCTATTCTTTTTGCCTTTTATCTCTGTTTTGCATTCCTTTTTACCTTCTTCTCTTGCTTTGTGTGGTACATGGAAGGAGTGTTGCAACTCGAACTGCTGCATATCTGTGCAAAGTTCTCTATGTTGAAACCAGCCAGTGAGTCAATCAGTCAGCATTAACTGACTGAACTGATTAGGCATTATGAAGCTCAGGGTTAAGAGTGTTGTTTATTTTAAATCAATTCTCCACAAATAAAATAGTTTCTCAACGGAGTCATCATGGGTTATTTTGTGTAATAGAAAGTAGTTTGCACTAAGGTGTTACAACAGTCATCATAATCATCAATTATTTTGACCACTCATAGCAATACCGATTCACACACACACATGCACAGCTACAGATGGTGGAGTAAAAAGCATCAAGCTTCAAATTTTCAGTAATGGTGGTGTGGTAAGAGCTGTCTGAAAGCCAAAATCGGTCATGAGAAAAAACAAGAACAAAGCTTAACCTTGAGGAACTCAACAACCAATCACAGCAGACTTAGCGTGGGCGGATACGATTAGCAGATATATATATCACCAGACTGTCTAAGGAATGGCAACAAAGAGATGACAGAATAACCTTGAGCAAGAAAATGACCAATCAGAAGACGTTGCTTCTCTGCCAGTTATAACGAATAATAACGTACACAAAATTCCATAAGTACCTGTTGATTTTCTCAATAAACGATCTGTTGCTTGGCCCTTATCTTCTGTCGTTACAGTGGTAGTATTTTGTATTTTGCGCGATAGGGATGCTAGGCTCACACCCCTTGATCTTCCCCCTCCCCCCTCGCGTTTCTTGGCTCACATTCAGCTAGTAAACGAGGGGAGACTTCGAAGTGTGTTGTCTGGCTAACAGTCAAATACTGAACTACCTGTGCAGACCGTTTAGCTCGTTTCAGTACGACTTTCCATAAATCACCAATTCAAATCAGACAGCTCAATTTCTTCTTTTTGATTGTGTCTTTATTTTTGTTTCTTCAGGTATTTGTATATTATATAAATTTGTGGAAGAGAAATTATTATCTAACCGGTGAATCAACCAGTGAAAAGCATCTTTTGTCTGCAGCAAGAGCACATAATCGTCGACAAATTTTAAATAAAGCTTTATCTATTTGGACCTTGAGAACACAGAGTTGGCGGAGAAAACGAGTGCTACGTGAAACTGCGCTAGACTTCATGCATAACATACTAAATAAAAATATGATCAATTCAATATTTCAACAATGGTATCAACAGATTGTAGATATTGAATTAGCTAAGAAGTATAACAGGTAAGCTTTTATTTTGACAGCTTTGATAAAGTCTCACAGTGGTGTTATACAGTATGGTGATATTTACTGATGACCACGTTTCGAGCACAATTTATCATTGCTGCTCATAATCATATCAAGGAACTACATTTATATAATTCCATTATTTTGCATCGTTTGATTTGATTGATAGTAGTATTTTCTATATTTCCGGTATGAGTGATGAGTCATTCCTGCTGCACGTGTCGGTTGTTGACTCTATAAACAAGGATTCACTAGTCGACCTCTCTCTCCGCCTACCTATATCACGTTTTAGAAATTTGACTTTGTCCCACCCATTCTATTGTGTGGTTGTGTGTTAATGCATGCAGTGCAATGCAGTGCTGAGTTTTTGGTAAATTACTTATCTTCTCAGGTGAGGTCAACCATTCTTACCTTAGCTAAATTCCAATGCTCTGATAATCTGACTACCACTGACCTACTAGTTTGACCTATGTAGTTGACCTCACTCACAGTTATTGCAGGGTATTTGTAAATTATATTATTTTGTTTAATTGGGTCCACCGGGTCTATTAGCCCACAGAGCTTGTCCCTGAGTGAGTTTGTAGGTTTGAATGCCACCACCCTAATTCCTGCTTTATTAAGCATCCTACGTAGGGTCTCATATGTCCCCTCCTTATATGGTATAATTTTAGATGCCGTATATTCTCTCTTATTTATGTTACCACTACTAGTTTCCTCATTATTTTTATTTTGCTTTTGGCCTTTTTCAGTCTTCCTAATGAATTTTAAAGGATAGTTATTTGATACCAACGCTTCTTCTATCTCATAGGTTTCCTGGCCGTAGGTGTTACGAACTTCCTGGAATAATTTGAGCGCCGAGTCAGATTGATTCATTATAAATTATTTAAATTAATCCCAGCGTGTTAAGAAAATCAAAACCAGATTTTCTTAGGTCTTTTTTTGTACTACTTAGTGCTACTGCTCGGTTCGTCGAGTCTACATCCAACACGTGCGCAATAGTAATGACTCATCACTCACACCGGAAATATGGAAAATACTACTATCAGACTTAACGTGTGCAAATACGATCTGCAGATAAATGACTTAACTTTCTGAGAAGCGGTCACAAGTAGTACAAAATAACCTTCAGCAAGAAAGCAACCAATCAGAAGACGTTGCTTCTCACCTAACAATAATGCTGATAATAATGTACATAAAAATCTATAAGTATCTGTTGATTTTATGAATAAACGATCCGTTGCATGGCCCTTATCTTCTGTCGTTACAATGATACTTTGAGATCCATTGATATTTTTGTCACTATTGTTCAAGCTCCTAATTCTAACCGTAATCCTAACTTCTGATATTAAATTCAACCCTTATCCCAACCTTAGGCCTATTGACCATAACCCTACCTAGCAGTATAGATCTGCAGAAAAAATACCTAGTAAATAAGCTGAATACTGTTTCTATCCTCTGTAAGTCGAGAAAGGCAGGTCTGACTTGATTTGGGATGATATTTCATAGCATACCCTGTATTTAATCAGTTCTTGAAGGTCAACTTTTGAAAAGACCTTGACTTTAACTTCGCCTTTCCTAATAAGCTTCCTTCTCCTTTTTTTTAGGTATAGAATTTTGAAATCATGCTTAAAACTCTGGTCAACTCGAAGTGAGCTAAGTATTATTGATCGTCGAATGCAGTGTAGTGCACACAATCTACATGTACGATTAATCCGTCAGCGATATTTCTCCTTATGGATTAATTATACACTGACGAAGAGGTTGATAAGACAGTCAACAGAAATAGCAATTAAGCATTACAAAATGAATCAAGTGAAAAAGTGTTTTCAAGGTTGGATATTGTACCATTGTCAAATTGTTGATCGTCAGAATATAGTTGAGTGTATTGTTGTAAGTTGAATTACTTCATATTATCATTATCATTATTATTATAACTCTTGTGCGTCGGTGGCACTGCGGTAGAGTGCTCGCCGACCACGCATGTGGTACGGGGTTCGATACCCAGCCACCGACGCACTCCTTCATTACTTCGCTAAGCCAATAATAAGACTGGTAGAGAGGGAAGGTTGGGTGAGGGGGATGAGGCTAGCAACCCCATCCTGTAAAAATGATCACCACTGCTGCTTACGAAACTTCAAGCCTCTCTAGCTTGAAGCCCTATGCTCCACTGAGAACGTAAAGAAATAAAAAGATATCCAAGATTGATAGTTGGTGTTGATATACGTCTACAGATAACATTTTTGATGACTTTTTCCATTGAAACTTCGAATGCCAGTACTCGTTGGTTTGACAAATTTGACGATACTGTGTTTTCATTCCTAGCTGTTGAATTGCAAGAATCATCCTTTGTGAAGAAGCTTGCCTCACTGACTATCAATCCCTGTTCTCTCTTTGGAGCTTCTGTCCTGTTGGATATATCACCATGCTGTTCCGTCCAATCTGAACTGTGAATAACGTGGATGCAACTTCTCTAATGATAGAGAATATAAGGCATCTACAGTTATATCAATATAAAGAGAGGATATCTGAGACCCTACTTGGGATTCTTAATATAGCAGCAATTAGGGTGGTGTCATTCAAACCTACAAACTGACTCAGGTAGGACAAGCTCTGTTGGTTAAAGGACCCTGTAGGTTGATCCAATTAGACAAAATCATATAATTTACAAAATATCTTGCAATGACTGTGAGTGAGGTCAACTACATAATTCAAACTAGTAGGTCGGTGGTAATCAGATGGTCGGAATACAAGAATTGAGCTATGGTAAGAATGATTGATCCCATCCGAGAAGATAAGTAATTTAGCAGACAGCTCAGCACTGCATTACACTGCATGCATTAACACACAAGCACACAATAGAGTGGGTGGGACAAAGTTAAAATTCTAAAACGTGAAATAGTTAGGTGGAGAGGGAGAGACGTTGGTTATTCAATCCTTATTCATCGAGTCTACTACACCCAACACATGCAGTTGAAGTCAATTCATATTGAAGTATGCGCTGAAGATGTTACCTAGTAGGGCGATGAAAGCTACGCAAATTAACTAACTATCCAGCTTATGGTTTCACCAGTTCCTACAAAATTTTAGCACGGATTATTATTGTTATATGTTATTAAAAAGACAATTGCAGCGAAGAAAATTTTCTTTTCGACGAAGTCATCATCTAGGCTGTACATTCGTGTATTTATATCAAATCGATGGGAAAGTTCCAGAATAATTTCCGGTTAAGGGTCAAATTAATAAAAATTACAATTAGGAATTAGAATGCCATAATAAACAGGGGGACGGATAAAACTCGAACAAAGTAGCATTATAATAACTAAGAAGATTGACATTGTGCAATTGGGGGTTAGAAATGTAAGAATAACAAAATATACAGGATGTTTGGATAAAAAACTAATATGATAAACAATTGTTTATGCAATCAGGGAATAAATATGTAGAAATAGTAAAATGACAAAATAAACAGGAAGAGTGGATATGAAAATATGGTAGTGTAGACAGGGATTAAGAAAACTAAAAATAACATGAATCAACAGGAAGGTTAGATAAGAAGGGCAATGAGATTGTCATTACTAAAACTCAGGACATTCAGCGCCTTTCGAAAAATCCTTCAAAGTAATATACAAGATTCAATCAAACCTACCAAAGGGAGTCAAATCAAGACATCTGGGCATAGCTGAGGCGCTAGCTATCCAAAAGCTCAAACCCACTCTTTGTATCCAAAAGAAATACGTTCAACCCTTGTCCCTGCCATGGCCATCATAAACAGGTAAAAATTTTTTTAGTAATGACAATCTCATCGCCTTTCTTATCTAAACTTCCTGTTTATTCATGTTATTTTAAGTTTTCTTAATCCCTGTCTACACTACCATATTTTCATATCCACTCTTCCTGTTTATTTTGTCATTTTACTATTTCTACATATTTATTCCCTGATTGCATAAACAATTGTTTATCATATTAGTTTTTTATCCAAACATCCTGTATATTTTGTTATTCTTACATTTCTAACCCCAATTGCACAATGTCAATCTTCTTAGTTATTATAATGCTACTTTGTTCGAGTTTTATCCGTCCCCCTGTTTATTATGGCATTCTAATTCCTAATTGTAATTTTTATTAATTTGACCCTTAACCGGAAATTATTCTGGAACTTTCCCATCGATTTGATATAAATACACGAATGTACAGCCTAGATGATGACTTCGTCGAAAAGAAAATTTTCTTCGCTGCAATTGTCTTTTTAATAACTCCTATGACTCAATGTGTATATTCCGTGGCTGTTATATGTATTATTTATACACGAGATATAAGTAGTAAGCTGAATAACATCACAGAGAAAGTGGGAAAGCAAATGAAGAAGAAAGGCAAGGAGAAACTAACAGTACTGAGAAGAAGAATCTGATCAGAAACACACAAGGATTATTATTATTTTTATTAGTTAAAAATCGTGGTAGTAGTGTAAGGTTTATGATTTCTTTAGAGTGACTGATAGAATTCAGTCTGCACCAAAGAAAGGAGTAGCCAGACACATCACACTAGTTATTAAGTAGTGTCCAGTCAAAGTCCTGAATAGCTCAGTGGTGGCCTCTCTGACTGCAGGCAGCACTGGATGACGCGAATTCGAATCTCAGAAGGGACATGAGTTCCCTCAAGGTTGCAGATATACGCCATGCTGACCGGTGGTGAATGCCAACTAGCACGAAACTTACGCCAGTTAAGGCTTCCTGTAGCCGGTTGCCTCCAGCCATCTGATATCATCAAATCAATGAACACCGTGATGTCGTGCTACCTATTGGCATGGTGGCCACATTGCAAACCTGACTGACTGATAGAATTCAGTCTGCACCAAAGAAAGGACTAGCTAGACACGTCACACTAGTTACTGGTGTCCAATAAAAGGATATCTTTAGAGTTTTTTGTATTTTTCAAGCAATAGCAGAAGAAGCATCAAAGATAGGACTTCAGGTAAACATACAGAAAACAGAGGTGATGAAGATTCCTGGGCAACACCAACAACAGACAAAAATCAGCATAAATGGAAGGAACCTGAAAGAAACAACCTCTTTTACCTACCTGGGAAGCATCGTTTCAACTACAGGCGGGTGGAACTGACGAGGATATCAAAGCAATAATCGGGAAAGCAAGACAATCTTTCACTACTTTCAAGTCTGTGTGGAGGTCAACAGCACTACTCAGCATCAAAAATAAGATCCGGATTTACAACTCCAATGTGAAGTCAGTGCTACTATACGGACCAGAGACTTGGCGCGTCATAAAGAGCATCTCAAACTAACTACAGACCTTCATTAACAGTTGTCTTCGCTCAATACTCAAGATTAGATGGCTTGTCAGAAAAGATCAGCAACAGAGATCTTTGGGAGCGAACCAACGCAGCAGGAACCGATTGTGAAACAAATATGCAAGAAGAAATGGAGATGGATTGACCATACTTTGAGAAACCAAACCATCAAGTGACATCACTAGACAAGCCATTGCTCGAGTGGAACCCGAAAGGGAAGCGGCAAGTTGGTCGTCAGTGCAAGGGTGACTTGGAGGAGGTCATGTGAAGAGGAGATGAAAGTGTTTGGGCAGACTTGGAGCCAGGTGAAGACTGTAGCAGAGAACCGAACGCAATGGAGACGCACGGGTGAAGCCCTATGTTCCTTTAGGAATTAAAGGAAACAATAATAAATAATAATAAGCAATAGCTTCACTCTCATCGGTCTACTTCACCTAACTGGTCGCCATGTTGTCTGTCAAATCATAATTTGATTAAGATTGGTGGTTATTTTTTCTCGTCACAAACCAACATCAATTATAGAGAAACATTGAGGATCAAGGAGCATTCAATGACTGTTTCGTCCATGTTTTGGACTGTTCGTCAGTCAACACCCACCCTAGAATCCCATCAGGGCTAGAATTTAGCATCTTCAGATTATGAGGCTAGCCCGTTAACCATTCAACCAGTCGGTTGAAATTCACTGTTCCGTGGCTTTTTAACTTCCATCAATTCGCCGGGTATAACCCCACCACCAACCAATATCATCGGTAAGTACTTGTCATCCCGACTGACCTTGTAGACCTCACTGGTGACAACTTTCATCAAAACATCAGGACATTTATCCAGTAATCAATAATAATAAAATTCCCGCAAACTGATTATTTAATTGCTGCTTATGCCATCAGAGATAGTTAAAGTCTGGAGATCTGATATAATTTAGTGGTGTGATGTCCGTAGTTTTTGAAATTTCCGTAGGATTTTACCTTTTGGTTTATGAGGGTGATATGTTGAATGCGAGTTTCACAACACAACCACGATGCATCCATTCCCCAAAGTTTGAGATTCCGACGCCAGGGTATCCTTATCGAACAAACTACCAGTGTGGGATCCAATGGCTGTTGATTTTCAGCTTTCATCAGTTTGCAATATAATAATAATAATAATATGCTTTATTCCAGAAACAGTACTAGTGGTACAGTTTGGAATTTTCAGCACTTATCTACAATATTTGCATCTAATTTTACAAACATTTAAAAGGAGTATTAAACAAACAAAAAAAATAAATCTGAAGACACCAACAGCAAAAAAAAACAAACAAACAGGATAAACACAAAATAATTATAAATGCGAAAAAGTACCAAAGTCTAATGCAGTGTTTGTGGTGGTAGTGTGAGGAATCCTGAATAATACAAAATTTTTTAAGGTGGTGACTATGGCGTTCACAACCAATGATTGTCAGTTTAATATTGCCGAAAAGTATAGAAAATAAGAAAAAACAACCACAAAACTAATAATTGCATGATGGTTAATGACAGGACAATTTTGTACTACTCATAGAGCTAATATAGTCGGAACCAGTGGATACACAAAAGAAGGAATAGAGTGAAGTGCAAAAAAGGAAGCCAATGTTAATAATTTAGGTAGCTAAGTATGTTTGAAGAAGGAATTCACTATAGAATACAAAATAAGAGAGAAATAAAAGAGCCTAAAATTATGATTATTAACAACAAAGCAAGTCATAGGTTTCGCGCTTAACATTGTCTCTGTCACTTAGAAGACGGGCCAAGTATGGTATCGTTGAGTTCCTGTACTTGGTTGTAAGAGTATAGATTATTTTATACTGATTTCTGGTTTTACTTGATGAGATACAAGGAGAGAGTAACTTCCTTGTATTGTGTCTTGGTAGTCGTAGACTCGATCTGGTGGAAAGAGATGTACACTGTTTAAGGAATAAAACTAACAAGAGTTGGTTTGTAAGGATTAGATTTGTTTTTATGGGTTTGACTACGGATTGATATTAGTTAGCGAACCATTGAAAACTACCAGGGAGTACTGGACAGCTGTTCCATCAACCTAGTCTGGGAATCATTGGCAGTACGCACCTACTGGGGTTTGTACCCAGGAATTGGTGGAAGTTGTCTGTCTGTCTGTTTTCAACATAGAGAAGTTTGCACCGATGTGCAGCAGTTCAAGTCGCCACACTCCCCCTCCCCCATGTAGCACACAAAGCAAGAGAAGAAAGTAGAAGAAATGCAAAAAAGAGGCAGTAGACAGGAATATGAAACAAAAGCAATAGTAATAATGAAGAACAATATAGTTTCATTGGGTATTATAAGTCACAAGGAGTGGATGCCTCTGCGCCACTGAGGACGATTTTGGGCCGTATCACAAATTGTCTCCAGCTTTTATCGGTATTTACCATCCCGAGGACCCCACCCAGTCAGGAAGTTTACACCTCTTTACGTGGCTGGCTTAAACTAACTGTTGTGGATTTCATTGACCGATGAACAGTAGCTAACTCTTTTCCAACCTCAGCCTATGTCACTTAACAATGCCCGTCAGTCGAGGAAGGTGACAGCTAACCATGCGTAACACATGTCCTAACCATCTCAATCTGCGTAACTTTATAGCCCTGTCGACTGATTTCTCTTCCTTACCCACGTAGCACTCGACCACTGCCTAACCTCAATATTGCTCACCCTATTATGCCATTTCACATGAGAGATAAAACGCAGACATCTATGATCAAAGACAGCTAGTCTTTCCATGCCCTCCACTCTCAAAGGCCAGGTCTCACAGCCATAAAGGAGGATGGATTGCACTGATGAGCAGTACACACGTCCTTTGGTCGACAGCTGGCTATCACATCTACACCAGAGACGGCGTAAACTGGCATATGCGAAATGAGCCTTCTGTATCCGTGCTGAGATTTCATCGGCGATCAACCCGCTGGCATTGGCTAATGCAACTTCCCAAATAAGTGAAGTGGTAAACGTACTCTACCACTTCACTCCCTATTTCTAATCTAGAAGTCAGTGTAGTTCAATTGGCAGAAGTTAGAATTCATGAGCTGGCCATTGAATAGGATTCCATTGGTTGAATGGTATACGAGCAAGCTGGCCTTGTAACTGGAGAGTCCTGGGTTCGAACCCCAGTGGGTACGTACTGCCATTGAGTCCGAAACTAGGATGAAACAACTGTCCAGTACTCACTCCAGTGCTGGTTTTCAGTGATACTCTAAATGATATCAATCCGTGGTCAAACTCGTAAAAACAAATATAATTTAACATGGAACAACTGTCCAATGAGTGCTTTCTAGTTTCCAGCGCTTACTCTTGTGACGTAACCAAATGCAAGTAATCACTTTAATTAAAGTGTTTAGAATCATGGAATATACATATTTGATCATAGGGAATAAAAAAAGCAGTTGCAGCGAAGAAAATTTTCTTTTCGACTAAATCATCATCTAGGCTGTACATTCGTGTATTTATAATAAATGGGTAGGAAAGTTCCAGAATAATTTCCGGTCATGGGTCAGATTAATAGAATTACAATTAGGAATTAAAATGACATAATAAACAGGGGGACGGATAAAGCTCAGACAAAGTAGCATCATAATTACTGAGAAGATTGACATTGATTGTGCAATTGGGGGTTAGAAATGTAGAAATAACAATAATAGACAGGATGTTTGGGTAAAAAATCTAGTGGGATCATAACTAATGTGACGAATAATTGTTTATGCAATCAGGGATTAAATATGTAGAAATAATAAAATGACAAAACAGACAGGAAGTTCCGATATGAAAATATTGTAGTGTAAATAGGGATTAAGAAAAACTTCACAATAACATGAATAAACAGGAAGTTTAGATAAGAAAGTCAATGGGATAGTCACTATTAGAAGAACTACCTCTTTGTGATGGCCACGACAGGGATAAGGGTTGAATATATTTCTTTTGGATAGCTAGTGCCTCGGCTGTGCCCTGATTTCTTAATTTTACTCCCTTTGATAGGTTCCATCGAATCTTGTATATTATTTTGAAGGATTTTTCGAATGTTTATGAAACCTGACATATCAGGTTACATAAACAAATGTATGAGTGATGATATAACCCTGGCTGCAAGACCTAGGTTCCATCACCAGGTGACATCAGTTAGAGAACGATTGGAAAACCACCATGGAGTACTGGACAGCTATTTCGTCCTAGTTTGAGAGGCTCAGGACCTTCCAATTGCAAGGCGACAATAAGGACCGTTTAGCCACTATGAACTGATCCATAAATTATGTCTTAATTCGCCAATACTGCAGTTGTTATTGTTGATTTTTTTAACAGGATGACGTAATCTTCCAAGATGTGCTGATTACTTTTGAGTTACAATAATAATAATAATTATAATAATTTTTATTTTAAATGTCTCTTATTTAAAGGTGAATCGACAACACTCTTTACTTGAACAATGTTTAATGAAATGGAAAGATTTTACTACAACGAAACACTCAATACTACTGAAATCATCTCAGTATGTAAGTAGTCAAAATAGCAGACTACTGAAGGAGTATTTTCATCGTTGGATAAATAACCTTCATGATAAAAAATCACAAGAAATTACTATCAATAATTTTCACAGATTGAAAACTATACAATGCTTAGAAAAGGTAAGTCATAATTGCACACATATCCACCCCCATGCTCCTTCATTTTTTCTTTCTTTCGTTCTCTCCTTCACTCAGTTTTACAGACTCTTTTAAGTTATCTGAAAGGTGTGCTCTATGTTTACCGTTTCTATGGTAATGTTTGTAGAATGGGGTGTATAAAAATGTTTTTTATACTATTTGACACTAATTATTGTGACTGCCCATTCACAATGGGCGCCCTGAACCAAATAATGATTGTGCCAGATATTTAAACCTCCTTTCTAACAAGCTAGCCAATCGCATATATGCATATGTGTTTGATGGCTTAATGACGAAACTCAGGTCAAACTCTTCCTACTGTGTGCCTCCAATCATCTAATGGCAGTAATTTGTAGTGCACCGTGATGGCGAGTTACCCAGCACGGTGGTTATGTAACGACAGGAGACAAGGGTCAGGCAACAGATTGTTTGTTGAGGAAATCAACAGTTATTTATATAATTTATTGTACACTATTATTCGTTATTATTAGCAGAGAAACTGTGTCTTCTGATTAGTTGTTTTCTTGCTGAAATTTAATCTGTCATCCCTTTGTGGTCGTTTCTTTGAAGGTCATACCATATTTCTGCGAATCGTATCCGCTTACGCAAAGTGTCTGTTCTTGTTCTTTTCTCATGACCAAGATTTGGGACGTAAACATTGACGTAAATTGCTGTCCAGCAATATTGGCTAGCAGACTTGGACTACACCGGCTCCTACATTAGAAATAGGAAGTAAAGTGATGGAGCACGTTGACCGCTTCATTTACTTGAGAAGTACCATCAGCCCCAACGGGTTGATCTCTGACGAAATCTCAGCACGGAAACAGAGGGCTAGTTTCGCCAGTTTACGCCGTCTCTGGCTAAGTAGACGTGATATCTGACTATCGACCAAAGGACGTGTGTACTGCTCATCACTTCGCTCCGTCCTCCTTTATGGCTGTAAGACCTGGCCATTGAGAGTGGAAGACATGAAAAGGCTAGCTAGCTGTCTTTGATCATAGGTGTCTGCGTTCTATCTCCCGCGTGAAGTGGTATAATAAGGTGAGCAATATTGAGGTTAGATGTCGACTGCTAGGTAGGTGCGGGAATGAATCGACGAGGCTGTGAAGCTACATCGACTGAGATGTTTAGGACATGTGTTATATATGCTTAGTCATCGCCTTCCTCGACCAACGGGTAATGTTAGCTGACATAGGGTTGATCAGGTTTGAAAAGAGCCGGTGGTGGTCAAACGAAAAGATGACTTCATCGGTCAATGAAATACAACACAGTTAGTTTAAGCCACGTAAGGTAGAAGGTGTAGACTTCCTGGTTGGGGGCATCGGGACGGTAAACACCAATGGTTGGAGACCACTAGTGATATGGCTGAAAATAATTCTCAATGACTGGTACAGATGCATCCACTCCTTGTGAATTATAATACCCAATAAAACTATATTGTTCTTTGATATTGCGTCGTATCTCTGTTTACTGTCTGTATTTTGCCTTTCTTTGTATACTTTCTTCTCTTGCTTTGTGTGCTGAGTGAATTGTGGCAACTCGAACTGCTGCACATCGGTGCAAAGTTATATGTTGAAACCGGTCAGTCAATCAGTCATGTATATATACCTGTAGAACCTGATGATGAAGATATTGAAAAGACTATTCTTTGTTCAATAACCAGTATGTTGAAATTTATAATTGGCATCTTTAATCAATTTTAAAATCTAGATCGTCACTACTTGTTTTATATTTTGATAATATATATTTTCTTTCAAAAGGTTTTCACCTCATGGTTGAAATGGTCTCGTACCCGTCGTGAGTATCGTTTACAAACGCAAATTCTTGTTAATCAAGGTGTACAGTCTCTACGTATTCCCCTAACTCAGGCGTATTATAACCATTGGAAATCTGTATATACATATTGCGTAAACTATCGTCTAGCACAGAGATTTCATTCCATGCGCCGACTTGTTCAGTGTTTCAATGGTTGGTTGGCATATTCCATATGTAGAAAGAAGAAACTAAAGCTGAAAAATGATGCGGACTGTTTCAGGAATCAAAGAATACAGGTAACTTCCTTCAATTGTGGTATTTTATTATTTGTTTTTTGGTTAGTAAATACGTTAAAAATATCAATATCGGATGGTTTGAATTGATTCACCTCTCTGAGGTGAGTCGAACCGGGTACACAGCCAACGAGTTCGGCTCCAAATAAGCGAAACGGCCGTCCAGTGCTACTGGTTGGTGTGAATGCTTTGCAACTACTCACTTCAGTCAGTCGGTAGTAGTATGATTTGATCCATTTACGTTTAGTTTTGTTGATTACCAACAACAATTAATTTGCAGAAGTTAGAATTCATGGGCTAGCGATTGCATCACGTCCCAGTAGCTTAATGGTCGACGAGCTCACTGACCTTGTAACCAGAAGGTCCTGGGTTCGAATGCCCCCTGTGGGTGGGTGCGTACTGATGGAGAGTCCCGAAACAGGCTGATGAAACAGATGGGTGTCCAGTACTCCCTGCAAGTTTTCTAGTGGTTCTCTAACCGATGTCCGCTCATGATAAAACCCTCCAATTAATCTGAAAACTTTAAATTGGATTTCTCTGCGCTTTAGTGCTACCTAACATGTTAAATGTCAAAGGATGTTTCTTCTGTTTTATCACTCATTGTTTAGTTATACTTTGTAAATAACTACTTACATTCTATGTGTGACCAGTTCCATCATCTAGCTAGCTAGCTAGCTGAGAATTTCACTGGATTCATCCATATTCTGACGTCAAAACTTAGTCAGTTCTTGTACATGAATGAGGATGAAGAGCTCAATACTCAATGAACGACACTGCTGTTTGATGTCAAGATTATCGTGATTGCGGGGGGGGGGGAGGCGAAGCTTACTCTACTTGTAGATTTAAGTCGTCTCTACGTACTTCAATTAATTTACCAGTTCAGTTATATCACTAGATGAAAGAAAATCACGTCGAATTCTCAATTTACAAAATAATTTGCAATATAGATATGATGGAGAAAATTTGTAGCTCAGGTGGATGATTTTGATGTGGTTGTGTTCTCTGAACTGGATAGTTAATTTACGAAGCTTTCATCGCCGTACTAGGCGACATCTTCACCACATCAATTCGTTGAAGTGAGCTTTTAGATTTCTCCACGGGTTTATTATTCATCTCTTCTGATGACCTTGGACGTGATAGCCTTCTAGGCTACTTGTATTGAAACTGATTGTTTCCTTTACTTGAACTTTGACCTTTTGTGTGCGAGGTTTCTTTCTTATCGGTTGATAAATTTTGTCAATCTCGATGTGTCTGTTGATTGGTGATTCACTGGAATGCCAAGCTTCTAAAAATTCTCTAGAATTTTTGTTGTTTCCTCTGTCTAATATTTGAACGTTGGTTGTCCCAGTCGAATTGATGTCCGTGGTTGTCTGTATGTAGTGATATGAGGGAGTGGATATCATGTCTTTTGATGGCTAGCTTATGTTTGTAGATACGAAGACGAAGGAGACGTCCACTTTAGTCAATGTAGTGTTTTTCTCAGTTGTTACAATTTATTTTGTAGATGATTTTGGTTTTATCTTCTTTCGTTCGCTGTTCAGTCTTTTGGTTGGTGAAAGCACTTCCACCTTAAGGAAAATTCAAGAAAGATATCTTATGGACGTCTTCCAAACGAATGGATATCCACGAAATTTCATCAAATGCCCTATACCCTCAAGCCACCAACCTATCAAACCAAAAGCCCCCAAGGAATGCACAGAGGAAAATCTCCCTACCATATATAAAGGACATCTCAGAAATCATTGCAAGACTCTTCAAACCTTTAGGAATTGACGTCGCACATAAACCAACAAAATCACTTCACTCAGCCAGCCAGCCCTGTGTCAACCAAAAGACTCAACAGAGAATGAAAGAAGATCAAACCAACTTCGTCTACAAAATAAATTGTAACAACTGCAAAAAAAAAAACAGTGCAATATTTTTAAACATTTCGAAGAGTTGGAATTTCATTTTAGTTTCCATTATTGGGGACTGAAAGTTAATCAGATCACAGGATATATATGATCTGCCTGATACCATAAATGGTAATCAAGGAAGTAAGCATATTTTCAGAGAACCGTACATACTACTGATTAATTGAGGTGAGTAGTGGTGCGCTATTCACATCAATCAGTAATCCTTGTTCCAACCAAGAGCCGATTGCCCAACAGTTATACAGGAGAAAATGGGGATGGATCGCGCATACATTGAGGAGGCCGCCGAATGACATCGCACGCAATGCAGGCCATTGCTCGAGTGCAATCCAAATAGGAAGCGACGAGTGAGTCGTCAATGCGACGGTGACATGGGGGAGATCGTGGGTTGGGGAGGAGGAGATGAGAGAGTTAAGTCAATCGTGGACCCAGTTGAAGAGGACTGCATAAAATAGAAGAAAAAGGAGATGTGTGGTTGAGGCCCTATGTTTCACTCGGTACCTAAGGGAACAATAATATAATGCCCACTACATGCAAGTACGCACAACCATACAATACAGTATAAGATAAGATGACAGTTCTAAAATCTAATAAAACAGGATGGGGGAAGAGATTGATAACTTAGGCTTTATTTATCGAATCAACTGAAAAGACGTTCAATAGAAATGATTCAACACCTGTCTGTTTCAGACATCTGGAAAATCCTCCAACTCCTACACTGCTACAATTCCTTATTGCTTGATTATCCTCTCTGACCGGTCAACTGATCTTCAGTTTAAAGAAAAGGGTGAAGGTATTGATGAACGTCTGCACCAAATTGTTGGAAATGCTTTTCTTGAAGCGATAGAACTAACTTGACATTAGTATTAGACGTACTGCCGATGATTCCCAAACTAGGATGAAACAGCAGTTGTCCAGTACTCCCTGGTTTTCAATGGTTCTCTAACTGATATCAGTCCGTGATCAACTCGTAAAACATAACTAATCCTTACAAACCAAACTATAGAAAATTAGTATTGGAGTTTAAAATCTTGTTCTTTATGTTGGGTACAGCAGATTTCCCCGCCTTCTTAGTGTGAAATCCCTTTCAGTAGTTTGCCAATATGTGTTGATATGTCGATATGTTGAATCCTGATTTAATTAGAAAGATTTACACAGCATTCATATTTCATCTGATACAGGCGTTTTGTGGTTTTTTCCACATTACTTTATTCATAAATCAACAATTTGAATAACTTAGACACTTCCCTATGCAATCTTATTTACTTAAGATGCTTTGAAGTTCAAATAATAACGAAGATATTTCGAAGTTTTAGTTTGCAGGATTTCATCACGAAATGAAGTCGGTTAGGGGACCGTTAGAAAACCTTCTTGGAGTACTAAACAGCTGATTCGTCATCGTAGTTTGGGACTCTTCACCAGTACCCACCTACTAAGGTTCGAAACCATGACCTTCCTTTTAGGAGGCGAGCTTTTAGACCATCAAGCCACTAGGACCCGATCCAATGACAAGTCCATGAATTCCATCTTTTGCCAATTCATGATATGACACGCCCACTAGTGAATGTCATTGCTGGTGAGTATTTGCCCTAACACTCGACCTGCTGTACCCTGCTGATTACGACTTCCCACTAGAACTCAGGTAACTACCTCTGGTCTACGAGATAATTTTTTAACTGGGAGGTCCTGGGTTCGAACCCCGATGGGTGCGCACTGATGAAGAGTCTCAAGCTGGGCTGATGAAATAGCTGTTCAGTACTCCCTGGTGGTTTTCCAATGGGTCCCTAAACGATGTCAGTTCATGATGAAATCCTGAAAAAATCTCGTTTGGAATGATTAAAAATCAAGGTGACCTTGATCATAAATAGATATTAATTATAGAACCAGTAAAAATGAAGCATCGTGACGTATCTGGTGGTACACTATGTGGTAAATTGTTTAAGATTTGGTAAACACCGATCATTGAACACCAGTCAGTTAACAGAAAAGTTTCGGAATTTTTTCGTGTAAAACAATTCGTGAGTTCGCAATATTAAAGTTCCCGTGAACTGGATGGAATTGTAACAACAGAAGACAAGGGTCAGGCAATAGATCGTTTATAAGGAAAATCAACACATATTTATATATTTTAATGTACATTATTGTTAGTAGAAAATACAGTCTTTTGATTGGTTGTTTCTCACAGAAAGTTAACCTTGCATCTCTTTGTGGCAGTGTCAGATCATCGCTATGCTAACTGTATCCGCCTACGCAAAGCCTTTGTTCTAATTTTCTCCCCACCAATATTGGGGACATAAACATTGACGTCAATTACTGTCTACCAACTTTGGTTAGCAGCCAGCTCTCACCACAGAATAACTATCCAGAACACTTCGTTTCGTGATATGAAAAGGTTAGCTAGCTGCCTTTGATCATAGGTGTCCGCGTTCTTTCTTTCGTGTTAGGTGATATAATAGTATGAGTGAAATTGAGGTTAGGCGTCAAATGTTAGGTAAGGAGGGAAAATCAATCAACGAGGTTATGAAGTTCCACAGATTGAGATGGTTAGGACATGCGTTATGCATGTCCTGGTTGAGGTCCTTGGGATACTAAGAACCAACGACGGCTGGAGATAATTGGTGATATGGATGGCGTAGATGCATTCACTCCTCGTGACTTATAATATCCAGTAAAATTCTGTTGTTTTTTCATATTACCAATCTTTTTCCCTCACTCACATTTCGGTTTATTATCTCTGTGTTTTTTGAATATCTCTTCACTCACTTCTCTTTCATTTGTGTGCTACATGGAGTGAGTGTGGTAACTTGAACTGGTGCACATCTGTACGAAGTTCTATGTTGAAGTCAGTCAGTCAGGCTGTCATATACATTTGATCGTTAATCATATATATATATATATATATATATATATATATATATATATATAGTGAGAGCTGTCTACTAACCACATTGGTAGGCAGCTATTTACGTCAATATTTACGTCCCGAAACTTGGTCATGAGAAAAAAACGAGAACAAAGACTAACTCAACAACTAATCACAGCAAACTTTGCGTGGGCGGATACGATTCGCAGGTATATGGTTTGACCTTCAAGAAAATGGCCACAAAGAGATGACAGATTAACTTTCAGCGAGAAAACAACCATGAAAACAAAACACGTAGATCAGCGAAGAGTCTCTTTCCGGTGGTGAATTCATTTTCTTAGCTGTACAATCGCTAATATATATGTGTTATTTTGTATGTATGTGTACATTAAGTTTGTCAAACAAAATTACAATTTCGATAGAGAAAGAAAGACCAGATTTGCAGTATAAAATGATATCATTCTATTTCACAGGTTCTCATCAGCTGCAAACTACCTGAAATTACAATGGTTATAATTAATAACATTTCATACTTCATTGTTTGAAAGGTAATACAGAAAGCATTATAAGATAAACGCATCCGGAATATAAGGATTAAAATTTTTGTAGCTTAAGTTACCATCAATTTATATACTATCAATCTATGGCAAAAAGAAAGAAAAAGGGGGGGGTGAGAGAAGACAGAAAACAGAAAAATCTAATAAACAGTGTCAACATGGCAACTCAACAAGGTCAAAGTTCATCAATTTGAAAACTTGCTTAGTGAGTTGAACTCACTAGTGTCTATGAGTAATCACTGTAATGAAAGTGATATGGTTACCAAGGGAGTGAGAGATTGACTACACTCTCTTTCTGTGTGCATAAGTTTGGTCTGAAGCGTTTGATTGCAATTGCTTCAGCAAATCGTAGTAGATTCGCTGTCCTTTGTATGTTTAATATTTTGAAGGATTTGGAAATCTCAACAAAATGGCCTGTATCCACAAGGTGTCTGGTAATTGCACTTTGTAAATATTTGCTTCCTTTTAAGCATAAGTTTCTCGGAATATGCTCTGAAAACCGGATAGAAGCCCTTCTTTCTGTCCTTCCGATGTACTTGCTGCCGCAGGTGCACGTAAATTTATAAATGCAGTTGGAGGTAACATCAGCAGGGTATTTATCCAGTTTCGATTGGCTTATAGAGCATGTAGTACTGTATAGTGTCACTAGATTGGCTGCAGGGAAGCATCTCTTGATTGCTCCTTTCATCCTTTTTTCAATCTTTCGCGATACTGTTTCTCCTTTGTATGGGAGGCAAATGAATACTTTCTTCTTTTCAACTGTTGGATGCTTCTCTTTCTCATCTCTTTCTTTGCTGTACTTTTGGATAAATCCTTTTGGATACCCGTTCTCCTTAAGGCATTTTTCAACGAAGCTTAATTCTTCTTCTATCTTGTTGGGCGAACATAACTTCCTAGCCCTGTCGTACAGTGTCCTTACTAATCCCCGCTTATAGCTCATAGGGCAGAAGCTGTTGTAGTGAAGGTATTGTCCGGTCCAAGTTTCTTTTCTGTAGATGGACTTTTCGACCGTTCCATCGTCTCTTCTTTTTACATTTAGATCTAAGAAATTGAACTCATCGTTGTGTTCGTATTCCATGGTGAATTTAATGTTTGGGTGGACCTCATTTAGGCGGTCAAATAATACGGATGCCTGACTCATGTCGTTACAAACAACAAAAGTATCATCAACGTATCGACGGTAGTATGTTGTTTCATTGATAGCGTCACTCAGTCGCGTCTGTTCCAGATATCTTCATGGGCAAATATATAAACGGGTTATTTTGTATGTATGTGTACATTAAGTTTATCAAACAAAAATACAATTGGTTATAGTTGTTTTAACCAAACAGGTGAAGATTAGTAATTGGAGTTACGTAATACAAAATTGGTCAAGAAAATTGGGTGTTAATGAAATTAGGGTATTAACAAAGGTGATGAGTTGTCACAAACAGTTGTTAAAAAGAAGTTGTGTAATAATATGAATAGTTTGATGAGTGAGTTTTACTCAGGATACACATAGGAACAAAGTAGAGAATGCGAAATTACTTAAGAGTTCTAAATGAATGCAAGAATTATAAGCAATTACAGAAACAGGCAAACAAACAAAACAAAGTCATCAAAAGCCAACCAAGTTATTACCATGATAGTAGAAGTGGTTGCGTAATTCTCTTTTGTATGCACAGCTCCGGTCTTCCTATGTGAATAGCCACAGCTTCAGCAAAACAAAGAAGGCGAAACCGTATTGCCTTTGATAGGTTGTTCTTGACTCTGTAGATTACTTTGAAGCAGGAGGCGTTTGTTGAAATGGAATGATCAGTGTTAACCAGATGTTCATTTATCGCACTCCTTATTGCACCACTATTGCCTTTTCGCAACAATGCTGGATGGTTGTGCTGAATCCTCTTAGACAGGGTGCACGTCGAACGACCGATGTACCTGGCTCCACAGCAGCAGGTGAACTGATATATGCACATGGAAGTGGTCAGATGCGGGATCTTGTCCTTGAGGCTTCTACAGATCAGTGGGCGACTGAGGAACACTATTCTTTGCGTTGCTGCAAAGAATGTTCTTCTCAGAGATGATGTGATCCTTCTTATGAGAATATCGCTTGCTAAATCTCCCTTGAAATCCAGGTTCATGTAGAGTTTCTTTTTTGGCGCCAGTAGAGTTTCGTTTCTCAGAATTCTTGGTTTGATATTTTTGTCGATGAATCTCATTGGGTATCCACTTTGGATGAAAATTTCTCTTAGAATATCTAATTTTGTTTTCAGAGCCTCGGGACTGAAGATGAGTCGGATGCGGGTGCCAAGTGATTTAATTAAATTTCGCTTTTGTTGAATGGGTACCCAGCTATAGAAGCTTGTTAGTTGACCATTCCAAGTAGGTTTTCTATGGATCGATCTTCTTAGGCTCCCATCAGTTCTTCTTGTTAGTTCCACATCAAGAAACGGAATTTTTGACTCGTTTTCCACTTCAAGAGTGAATTTTATTGCTGGATTGCAACAGTTAAATGTCTTCAGTAGTAGTAGACTGGGGTCATTGTTGTTGTCGCAAATAATGAATATGTTGTCTACGTATCTTTTATACAGTCGCAAATTGTCAATGCTTGGCTTTAGTGGACCTTTCTCGAGGCTTGCCACGAAGCAATCTGATAGTAGTGGACCCAATGGAGATCCCATTGCAATACCATCCTTTTGTCTGCAGATGGTGTCGTTGAATGTGAACTGGACGTTCAGAGTGCATCTCAATAGTAATTCCTTCAAAAATGTTGTTGGTATTCCAATATTGAGATAGTTGTCATCTATATATTTGCACATGAAGCAGACCGTTTCCGTGAGTGGGACATTGGTGAAAAGTGACTCAATGTCCAAGGACAACACAATTTTGTTAGATACATTCAGAAGACGCTGTTTCTCTGCTAATAATAACCAATAATAATGTACACAAAAATTTATAAATATCTGTTGATTTCCTCAACAAACGATCTGTTGCTTCACCCTTGTCATCTGTCATGACATACATATATATATATATATTTTCAAGTATTGGTTTGGTAGGGATTTTGTTTCATTGTGTGAAGGATTTCATCATGAGCTGACATCAGTTAGAGAACCACTGGAAATCCTGGGAGTACTGGACAGCTGTTTCGTCATAGTTTGGGACTCTTCAGCAGTACGCGCCCACCGGGATTCGAACCCAGGACCTTCTGGTTACAAGGCGAGCTCGTAGGCCATTGAGCCACTGGGACCCGATCCAACGGTCCTTGAATTCTAACTTCTACCAATTCACGACATCGAAATTCACGACGAAACAGCTGTCCAGTACTCCCAGGTTTTCCAGTGGTTCTCTAACTGATGTCAGCTCATGATGAAATCCTCCATATATATATATATATATATATATTCATTTCATATCTTCTTTTTATCTGATACAGAAACACTTCTTAAATCATTGGCGTATAACACTAATTGAGAAAAAGAATACACAAACTCTGGAATCCATTGCTGTTATCCGTTGGTCATTATGCTTACAAGCACGTGTATGGAAAGCTTGGCGTCTATGGATTGAATGGAGGCATGAAAAGGCAAACAGACGTAAACTTGCTGTTCAACGATTTATTGAACGTCAAACTGTTGACGCTTTACGGATGTGGATTTCAATTGCATTGAATAAACGTCATAAAAGGCACATGGAATATTGTTCAAAATTTTGGGTATGTTAACATGAATTATATTCTTCCAAATCGCTTTATAAAGTGACGGTTAATATATATTTAGGAAATCAAAACAAGTGGTGATTCAGAGACTCTTCTCAACAACGAATTTATCATGAAGCTGTACAATCGTATATATATATATATATATATATATATATATGGCCTCTTTAAGAAGTTATATCCAGTGAGGGAATTGAAACATAGGTGTGAATGCATAAAATAATAATAATAGTATGAAATGCAATTAACACTAAAATGTTTGTGATTATAATCATAGGTAAATGTCAAGCGGCAAAACAATTAATGTCATATATAGAATAATTCATAAGGTGTATAAATGTTGGGAAGGGGTGCATAATTATGGGATTAGTAGGCGAATAGAATAAAATAAAAACGTTACATAATATTGTGTGAAATTTGATAACACAGAATTTAACGTTGTAAAAAAGAAGAATTGATTTAGGATGACAGGTGGAACAAGTGAAATAATACCGGGGACAGTTCAAAGTGAGAATAGTAATAGTGACAATTGACTACAAATTGAATAGACAAAATGAAAAAATTTGGTAGAGCCATAATATGAAATGGTGATTACCATACTTTAGCATAGACGGATTAAAAGCATGAAAGTTGGGCGGGGTTGAACGAACGTTTTCTGTATACAGAGATCTGACTTTTCTGTTTTGATGGTCAAAGCTTCAGCAGTACATATGAGTTTAATATGCAGTGATTTGGGTAAATCACTTTTTCCTTGTAGATGACTTTAAAGGCGGAGGCTTTAGAGGTAGGGTGATCATTATCGACCAAATGTTCAGTGATCGCGCTTCTTATTGATCCACTTCCACCTCTTCATAACCAAGCAGGATATTGTTCTTGCACCGTCTGTGACAAAGTTCGAGCCGGTGAATTGATAAACGCACATAGAGTTGGTCAACAGTAGGATCTTGTCCTTATCGACTGGTAAAGGCTATTCTCAGAGATGCAGAAGGGAATGTTCTTTTCAGGGATTGTGATATCCTTCGTTTCATGATAGCTAAGTCCCCTTTGAATTCCAAGCTCATGTACAGTGTTTTCTTGGGTGCGGATGACAAGTCACGTTTCATAGGGTTTCAATGTATATTCTTGTCTATAAAACGTGGTGGAAATCCATTTTCTATTAGGATTTTCCTCAACAGATTTAACTCATCCTCCACAGTATCAGGGCTACATATTTTTTTCTACAAATATATGAAAAGTGAATGAAATTTAAAAGCTTTATACATTTATTCGTCGGTGGCACAGCGATTAGGACGCTCACCAACCATGCACATGGTCCGAGGTTCGACCCCCGGCTGATGCACACCCGATATCAATTGTCGGCCTCCTAACCTTGGGCTACCGATATCACATGCTGAAAATTCCATACTTGTGTCAAAAATGAATGAAGCAAGAACAGCAGCAGCAGCTGCAGTTTGTGTAGAGCAAGATGGTATCGTCGTTTATTTCGTCGACTTCTCATCAGCTTCTTGCAGTCTGAAGATACTACTAAGTTTTTGTGTACGTACAGTAACAATTTTAACATACTTGCTATTTTTGCAAGATGTCAGTTAACAGACAGTTCAATAGTAACGGAGTTATGTATGATAAAGACAAGAGGTTAAAATCAAAGATTATGTGATCAAATGAAAGAGGCAATAAAGATATCCAGTTACCAAGTGAGCAAGCCAGTACTGATAACTGCTTCTTTTTGAACACATAAATTGTGTCTCAGGTGTTTGACAGTCATTGCTTCAACAAACTTGAAGAGAATTGAGCTATTTTGTGTATTGATAATTTTAAAGGATTTCACGATGTCCACTTCTGATAATCACACCCCATCAGCGCAAAGGTATCAGTTGTTTCAAGTCGTTTTTAGACGATCACACTCTTTGACGTTAACGGATGAGAAAGAAAAAGAAGAAGAAATATCAAACATTACTGAAGCGTTTTGATGTGAGCTAGCTGGATAGTTAATTTGCGAAGCTTTCTTTATTGCCCTACTAAGCAACATCTTCAACGCATGCGCTTCAATTTGAAGGAAGTGAGCTTTTAGATTTCTCCACGAGTTTATTAGTCATCTCTTCTGGTGACCTTGTACATGATCGGTTGTTTTGGTTGGTATAAGGTCAGCAGGGGAGATGACTAATAAACTCGTGGAGAAATCCACTCCATATAGATCAGAAACGTCAGACGATATCAGGAGAGTACTCAATAAGCTCGACATCAGAGTTTTCTTCAAAGCATCAGACACACTACAAAGCAACTTTGTCCATGTAAAAGACCGTATCCTTAAGGATTCTCAATCTAATTGTGTCTATGAAATAAAATACTTGCAATGTGATGCGATATACATCGGACAAACATCGCGAGAAATCAAAATCAGAAGAAATGAACACCGTAGATTGAATGTCTGTTCGACCACCGAGAAATCCAGTTGAACTAGAGATAAGCTTGAAAAATTATCAGCCAGCCATAGTTTGTCAACACGCTATAGAATCAGGCCATAAAATTGATTTTGACAATATTGAAATAATCCAGAAAAGCTTCAGAAATCAAAAAGAACGTATAATATCAGAACCACTTCATATCAAGTGGAATCAAAATTGCCTGAATAGGAATGATGGACTAAAACAGAATCTGACCTGGTTACAACACCTCCATCCCCCATGAAATGACAAAATCAACACGAATGTGATAAGCAACTTCATTATGTAAACACACGCTGTTTTTGTATAATTTAAAACACTTATCATATCCAACCATCTACACACCTGGTTTTCTTATCTTTACCAATTGGCCAATTTCATAACCGAAAATAACTCCATACTGAGGAACGATGATTAAGTTGTTATACATAATCTGAGTGGATTTTGTAAATTCTGGTTTAATAATACTACTTTGATAAAGTTATTAGCAGCAGCATTAAATAACGAAACGTCAGTAAAAGTGACAACAATATCGTTTTGTTTTTCATTCATTTGGAAATACCAGAAACCTTTATTATGAGAAATTGATTCCACACTAATATCAGGTGCGCGTCGGCAGGGGATCGAACCACAGACCATGTGCAAGGTCAACGAGAGTCCTAGCCACTGTGACACCGACGCAATAGGTGTCCATCTGTCTTTTCTTCTATTCAGCCTGTTAAATCCCTTAAAAAATTACGCAGTAAGTTAACAATCTAAGCATAATTCAATCTTTTATTTAACACTTTGTTGCTATTTTATTTTATTTTTTCAATATTTACAAGAACAACAATACTCGTCTGTACAGCTTGATACTTCGTGTCGGTACACATTGGTATTGGAGGACTTTTTCAAAACGTCGTCATAACAACAGCAACAGCGACCTTGTTGAAACATGTACGGATAGTGCTTATGATGCTGTTTTACAATTATCTGATAATTGCCACAATAACCAATTAACAAAATATAATAATATATTTAATGAAAATATTCATGTACTCAATGGAAATATTAATAATAACAGTTATTTGAATAAATTACAAAGTTATGAATTGACACCACCACAATATCCAGATTTTATTCTATCGGAAATTGAATCACTCGAAGTATCAACTCATGTAAGTAAACTGTCTACTCATTACTTACTATTTATGACTTTAGTTGTTTTTTTAAAATACAACGGAAATTAGTGAATATAAATAAAATATTCTTTCTGATAACTTCTTCAACGGATTCTATAGCTGTACATCTATTATAATTAGACAATTATTGATATTAATAACTTTATTTTTCAGGAATTAGCTTGTAGGGATTCTATTTTTTTTCAGGTGAGACCATAGATCGATATCAGTTAGAGAACCACAGCTGTTTCCTCCGTCCTAGTTTGTGACTCATCGGCAGTACACACCTACTACAGGGGGTATGAACCCAGGAACTTCCAGTTACAAGGTAAGATCGTATAGGATTCAGCCACTGGAGTTATAGTGAGAAGTCATGACCTGGGGGGGGGGGTCATCCAGTCGGGAGTGAGGATGGAGTGTCCCCTGATGATACTGTTTGGCGGTTGCAGTAAAATCACGAATCGTTAGAGGTTAGAATTCATGGGCCGGCCATTGAATCCGGTCCCAGTGGCTAACTGGTATACGAGCTTACCGTATAACTGGAAGGTCCTGGCTTTGAAAGCCAGTGGGTGCGTACTGATGACGAAACCCAAACTAGGAAGAAACAGCTGTCCAGTACTCCCTGCAGCTGGTTTTCAGTGGTTCTCTAACTGATATCAATCCGTGGTCTAATCTGAAGTCACATTATTATGTATAATTATTATTACCGTGGGTTTTGAGTGGAACATGAGGTTTCAGCGGTACATCTCAGCTCTTAGATGACTCCACAGTCTCCTATAAGCTTTCATTTGCCCGGTGTCACTCTCGAACGCCCAACTCACCATTTCCATTCGAGTTCAAGTCGATGGCCTGTCTAACGCATGATCTCATTGGACGGTTTTCTCAGCCTGTTTCCAATTCATGTTCGTTTCCCTTTACATACTTATTAGGCAATGGATTTGTTGGTTAGTCGGCTGTCTGTATGTTTTCGACACAGAACTTTGCACTGATGTGCAGAAGTTCAAGTCGTCACACTCCCTCCTTGTAGCACACAAAACAAGAGAAGAAAGTAGAAGAAATGCAGAAAAGAGGCAGTAGACAGGGATATGAGACAAAAGGAACAATAATAACGAAGAACGATATAGTTTCATTGGAAATTATAAGTCATAAGGAGTGAATGCATCTGCACCTCTTTACGTGGCCGGCTTAAACTAACTGATGTGGATTTCATTGACTGATGAAGCCATGTTTTTTGTTAGACCACTACTGGCTCTTATCCAACCTGACCTTATGTCAGCTAACATTGTCCATCAGTCGAGGAAGGCGATGGCTAGACGTAACACATTTCCTAACCATCTCAATCTGTGTAACTTTATAGCCCTATCGACTGATTTCTCCTCCTTACTCACCTAGCACTCCATCGATGCCTAACCTCAATATTGCTCACCCTATTATGCCATTTCACATGAAAGATAGAACACAGACATTTATTATCAAAGACAGCTAGCTAGCCTTTTCATGTCTTCCACTCTCAATGGCCAGGTCTCACAGTCATAAAGGAGGACAGGGCGAACTACTGAGCAGTACACACTCCCTTTGACCGATAACCAACCAGATATCACGTTTACTAATCCAGAGATGGCGTAAATTTGCATATATGAAACGAACCTTTTGTATCCGTGCTGAGATTTCGTCAGCAATCAACCCGTTGTCGTTGGCTGATGCAACTTCCCAAATGAGTGAAGCGATCAACGTGCTCTACCACTTCACTCGCCATTACTAAGCTACGATTGAGTCTATGTAGTCTAGTCCTGTAGCATCCTCTTACATTTTGAGAGAACGAATCGCATGCCAAACATTCGCAGATTGCTTCCCCTGAAGGTGTTCAGAAGACTCTGCATTTTGTCAAGTCTTCACCTAGAAGGACTATATCAACTGTATATTCTAAGTCAACGAGACTGTTATTCCCTGGTGGTAACAAGTCAATCCCTGAGTCTCTGAAGTGAGTTGGGGTTAAGTTCATTAGTACGTCTACGATGAAATCGAATAGAAATAGTGGGCATCCCTGACGGACACCACTAGTTTCCACCACTTCAGATGACAACTGGCCGTAAGCTCTCAGCTGGCTGTATGAGTTCAAGTAGAGTACCTTGATCAGTGTAATGTATTTCCTCGGCATTCCTTTTACACCCAAGCATCGCCATAGTACCTCTACGTCGACGGAATCAGAATCTGTCGAAGAGTGAAGATATGGTAGCAATACCCTCTTCCTGGTTTAAAGTCTGCCTGGTTCTCTCGTGTTTGTGCCTCCCGAGCACCACCTAGTCTACGCACAATTATTGAGCCTAGAACTTTAGATACCATATTAGTCAATCTAACCCCCCTGTGATTATCACAGGTTAGTTCCTTGATGTAGTTCTTTGTCGTTTATCCTTCCTACTAATCTGGTCATCTAATTTTCAGTATCGAGCTAAAAAGGCATCTGTTGATAAAACTCTTGCAGCTGGCTACTGCAAAGACTTTTGCCAACATGCCAATGCTCTCAACCATGTAGAAAAAATGACTTGCCGTTGGTGTTAAAAATCCGAATCTTGTTTTTTTTTCTGAGTACATAAGATCTCCAGACTGATTTCAGATTATTGAAGGTCTCTCTTGCCTTTTCTCCATCCTTCCTTTGACATCCTCACTGGCATCACCGATAGTAGTTGAAATGATGTTGAGTATATAATTGAAATAAGCTCCTCATACTTAGATTTCTCCCGTTGACTACGATTGCTGCATAAATACAACACTGAAATACATATCAGATAAATTTAAAAAAATAATATAGCATATATGTATACAATAAATACACCAGACCTGGACATGTTTCTCTAGCACTCAGAGTTGTGGTTATTATATATGTGTAAAACCTGGGCACTATGGTAGTAAGTAATTACATATTAGTTTGTTTATTAGATATATCACACAGTCAGTGAAACAGTATTCTTGTTTACTGGATGACACAGTTTCGAACACAATTTATTCATTGTTCATAATCATATCATCAATTATAATCACACGAATTCCAAACTTGAGTTTTATAGTTTTCTTTGTCCTCTCCTATTTGTCGTTGTTGGGCTAGTAGAATTTTCTAGATATCTGGGTGAAGAGGTGTTGAATCATTCCTATTACACGTATTCTCTTCAGTTGATTCGATGAACAAAGCTTCTGTTATCAATCTCTCCCTCCATCCTGTGACATTAGATTTTAAAACTATTGTCTTATCCCACCCTGTATTGCATGGTTGTGCGTAATTAGATGTAGTGCTATAGCTGAGCCATTCTTTAGATTTCTTATCTTATTTGGGTCAAATAATCTAGATTTTGCTAGGTTTTAATGCTCGGCTAGTGTGACTGTCCCTGTTCTACTGCTTTGACCTATTTATTTGACCTGACAGTCATTCCAGCAGAGTATTAGATAGACTAGATTGTTGTGTTTTGAAGGCTCCACTGACAGGATCCTTTAACCCACAAAGCTTGTTTCTAATTGAGTTTGTGGGTTTGAATGTCGACCACTTTTATTCCTACCTTGTTAAGAATCCTCCTCCGTAGGGTGTCCGAGGTTCCTTCCTTGTATGGAATTACTGCTGATTCCTTACTGTCAGTGTTGTCATTGTCTTGAGCATGTTTGACATGCATGTCGTCATTAATAATATTACTATTAACACTATCACTGCTATTATTATTTATTTTATTTTCGCATTTCCCTACATACTTTCTGACTAATTTATCAGGGTAATTATTAAGTTTCAAGGCTTCTCTTATAAGTCTCACTTCCTGTCTTAGATTTTCCTTGGCACTACTAAGTTTTGTGCTCTATTACTTAGACATTTCACCAAACCTATTTTCGCTGACATGGGATGGGATGATCGGAAATCCAAAATATCTGTTTGAATGTGTGGGTTTCCTGTAGACACTAGTGTTTAACTTCCCATCTTCTTTCCTTTTTGCGCTACAATCTAACATTGTTAGCTCCCCTTCCTGACTCTCCAATTCATAAGTGAATTGAACTGCCTCCATCTTTGAGTTAATACTTTTGAAAAATATATCAATATCCTGTGTTCTAGGTACAGTGAATGTGTCATCTAAATACCTCCACCATACTTTTGGGGGTGGGGCTGAACGTTTCAATCGCTATGTTTTCCCACCTATCCATGAATATATCTGCCACAGTCGGGGATATTGGTGATCCCATGGTAACTCCCTCAGTTTGTTCGTGTACTTTCCCTGGAATTTAAACATTGATAACAGAAGCTTCGTTTATCGAACCAACTAAAGAGAATACGCGTAATAGGAATGATTCAACACTTTTCCACCCAGATATCTAGAAAATTCTACTAGCCCAACAACGACAAATAGGAGAGGACAAAGAAAACTATAAAACTCAAGTTTGGAATTCGTGTGATTATAATTGATGATATGATTATGAACAATGAATAAATTGTGTTCGAAACTGTGTCATCCAGTAAACAAGAATACTGTTTCACTGACTGTGTGATACATCTAAGAAACAAACTTAAACACAGTTATGGTTCTTTTAATTAGATTTCAATGGCCTTTGTAGTTTGCTGTATTTGATATTTAGAGGATCATGTCAGTTTATTTGGTATCCAATAGATGATAGAAAATGATCCTTCAATGGTAACTTTGTGGTGTGTTCGGACCAGACGGTCTAATTATTGAACTTGTGATGGCTTTAACTATATCTTTATTTAGCCACACTGACAAAAATGTTCTGTTCCAGGAGAAGAGAAGCTAAGCTGCTAGAGCAACAGTCAATAATAGAGGCTTCATAGGGAGTCCCGGTACTTTGTCTATCAACTGGAGAGTTAAAGCTACAAGTAGTGTGAAAAATGCTTGTAAGCGGCAGTAATCTCATGTATAGTAGCGACTTACAGTACATCTATAAAACACAAAATAATTGAGTGAAGAATATCCTTTTCGATAATTTCCTCTTCTGGCTCTACAATTATATATATATATATGTTTATATACATACAATATCCTAGAATAGTATTCAATAACATTATTAGTATTTTTAAATAATGTCGATATGTAAAGTAAGATCAGTGGAGTTACAGTTCATTAAAGATGCTTAAATTATAATAATAATAACAATAATATAATAGCAAATAGAATATGAACTAAAATTATGAAAATTCCACAAAAATTGAGGTTCATTCGAACCTAGATGGCATAGGTAAGGAAAATGTCTGAACTAGCTTCTTCTTTTGAACGGTTAAGTTAGGCCTCTTAATATGGATCCCAACAGCCGGCCTCAGCAATGTTTAGTAGTCGAACTCTTAAGGCGAAATTGAGATTTGCTGGTATGCGGTAAATGACTTTGAAAGCTGCCTAGTTGACATCAATCTTGTGTTCTGTATCCACAAGCTGAGATAGAATACCGCTATGTAAATAGATTTTGTTTGTCCTTTACTTAACCAACCACTATGCAGGGTGATGTTCGGAAATCCGACGAGAAATTCGCCTAATTGTACGGCCTATGCAAGACAACTGGCTCCAGAGGAGCCAGTTGTCTTCAACTTTCTTGATCATGTGTTTCATTTTAAACGTTTTAGGACAGTTATTCTCATTTCCGGTGCCATTTGTAATCTTAAGTTAGTTAGAATACTTTATAAAATGTAGCAGCATAGTAAATTGTTTCTTTTTTACTGTACAATTTATTTTAGGAGGAATTTCCACCTATATCGACACACACTTCTGCATTTGATGACCAGTCACAGTGTGAATTAAAAGATGATAAAGAAATAGGACTCTCCACTCCTGAGTGTAAGTTTTTCAATAAGTATTTCGTTATTATTATTATTGTGTACTTTTTCGCTGCATTTCGTACTTCTTGGTTTTAATCTTGAACATAAATCTCTCAGTTTTCAGATGAAATCGAATGTAATGAGATCATCTGACTTCGTTGAGTAGTTGAGGCAGCAAGTTTATGATTCAATGACTCACGAAATCTCACCACTATAAAGTAGGTTATTATAATTATTCCCTTGGATTGCGAGTGGGACATGGGGCTTCAACAACACATCTCTACTTTCTTCTATTTTCTGCCGTCCTCTTCACCTGAGTCCACGACTGCCCATAACAACCCACTGTTTCGTTTCTATTTCAATTTCACTCGAGGGCATGGCGCGCGACGTCTTTTGCCTTTCTTAGCGCTTTTCTCCACCTCTTTATTCAGTGCGATATACACTGAGCCCAGCTTTTCTTCCTGTTGTCTATCTTTGGATTGGGTCATCTTCTCTTCCGCCATCCTCCTCTCCTCTATTAGCTTCCAGGTAGGTGTCTGTGGAGAGCCAGCCATTCCTTGTCTTGTCTCATCCTTCTTCCTAGAACAGATGTGCATATTTCGTTCGGAGAGTTCCAATTTTCTTTCATGCAGGTTTCTTCAGTGATGCCACGTAATATCTCCGACTTTGCTTGGATTTGATCTGTAGTGAAGGCATGTCTTGTAGTTTTGTCCTTCAGTCCAGTTTCTGAATGTCAGACTTCAGTTGTGGCCTGTCTCCAGTTGTTTTCAAGGATTTCACCTTTACCTTGATGGTTCCTTGAACTAAATGATAGTCTGAACCCACATCTGCTCCCCTTTTGGACTTTCTGTGCAGCAGGCTGCGTTTCCACTTCCTTGAGCGACATTGAAATGAAATCTATCTGGTTTGTGGTGTGTCTGTCAGGCGAAATCCATGTTGCTTTGTGCATATCCTTGTGTTTGTACACTCTTTCTTCGATCACCAACTCATTGAAGGATGCAGAGATCTGCGAATAATTCTCCGTTCTCATTCATTTCTCCGAGCGACCATCTCTCGACCCATGATGAGTTAGTTCTCTTCCTGTATTGTTAGCTCCCAGTTTGGCCTGCATTCTTATCACCCATGAGGATTTTCGGGTGTTGTCCATTACTGTTTGTAGTTAACAAAATAGGTTATATGTCCTCTTATCAAGTGTATTGCACATCGTTGCCCTCTATGCTATAATAAGACTATTAAATACGCTTATTAAGGAAAGAACCCATAATAACTTAAGACATTCGATGAGCACTGCCCAGCTAAATTTGTTCTCATTCCATGTGATCATATAGGGGGTAGTGAATAAATCAATCGATAAGGTTAGAAAGTACAACCAACTTAGAGAGAAGATACATATTCCTTCTTGATTAGTTCCTCATCATGTGTTGATGACTGACTGACTGACTAAGTTCCAACGTAAAACTTAGCACAGAAGCGCAGCCTTGGGTTCCAAGTGAAACATAGGGCTTCAAGGACACATCTCCACTTTCTTCTATTCTCTGACTTCTTCATATGCCTCCTCGATTTCCCCATAATCTCTCATCTCTTCCCACCGTTCCATGTTACCCTCGTATTGACGACCCACTCGTCGTTTCCCATTCGAATTCTATTCGTGCGGTGGCCAGCATCGCGTGCGATGTCATTCGGTGGTCTCCTCAGTGAATCCCTGATCCTTCTTCATTTTCTCCTACATATTTGTTGAGCGATCGGCTCCCACCTGTTGAATAAAGCAAGAACAACAGTGTGGTTTGTGCAGAATAATATGGTACCATCATTGTTTATTTCGCCGGCTTCTCATCATCTGCTTACAGCCTAAATAAATTATGAGGTTTGCGTACAGAAAGGTTTTAACATACTTGCAAATTTTACATGTTGTCAGTTAACAAAAAGTTCCACAGTAAGTGAACAGTGCTCAGAAAATTGCGCTTATATGGTTTTTACACAGGCAGTTCAAGTTTAAACAAAATAAATGTATGCATACAATGGTAAAGGAGTTACGTAATAAAGAAAAAATATGCGTTAGATACAGAGTGACTAATAAATTAGGTAACAATGTACTGAGTTCAACTCAAATCATAGAAACAAGAGACAAGCAAAATTACAGATTATAAAAGGGGGGTGAGGTTAAAGACAAAGATTACGCAATCAGATGAGAGAATAAAGAAATTCAGTTACCAGGGCAAGGAAAGACTAATAACTGCTTCTTTCTGAACACATAAATCTGGTTTCAAGCGTTTGATAGAAATCGCTTCGGTAACCTTGAGGAGAATGGAACTCCTTTGTCTATTGATAATTTTAAAGGATTTCTCGATTTCTACCTCATGACCCGTGTCGAGGAGATGTCTAGTAATAGCTCTACTATAAGAGTTTATTCCTTTGAGACGTAGACTTTTCGGCACTTGTTCAGAAAATCGGAGGTGTACTCTCCTCTTACATATTTGCTGAGCAATCGGCTCTCGCCTGTTGGTTTTGTTCCCAGCCAGAGTTTCTTGTTGCCAATTCTTTCTGGCCAACTGTTTGATCTTCAGTATGGAGCTAGCGAAGTGGGCCTTTTCGTGGCACGCCAAGTACTATAGTAAGCAGAAATCTGAAGGAGAAAGACTAAATAGTAAAACAGAAGAACATGCAGGTTGAATGGATATCGAAGATCACAAAGAACAAATACATTTGTGCCAATCAGAACGATAATTTCAAGCCATGTCATCAATAGTCTTCAGTCTTATTGGCTTCTTAGCATCCTGAGGACCTCAACTAGACAGTCTGCACCTCCTTATTTTGCTAAAGCCAACTAACTGTTAAGGATTTCATGAACCAATGACAAGTTTCAGTTTGATCTATTATTATCATTGTTCCCTTGGGTTCCTAGTGGAAAATAGGGCTTCAACTGCGCGTCTCCACTTGCTTCTGTCTTCTGCTATACATTTCACGTGCATCCATGTTATTCCATACTGTTTCAACTCCTCCCCACACGATCTTCTCCATGTCACCCTTGCACTGACGTCCCACTCGCCGCTTCCCTTTCGGGTTCCACTCGAGCGCTGGCGTGACGCGCGATGTCACCCAGCGGCCTCCTCAGCGAGTGTCCAATCCATCTCCACTTCCTCCTGCATATTTGTTGAGCGATTGGTTCTTGTTTTGTTTGTTCCCATAGTTTGTTGTTGGTTCTTGTTCTTTCCGGCCATCTGATCTTCAGTATGTAGAGCGAAGACAGTTGTTGTTGATAAAGGTCTGCAACAGGCTGTTGGAAATATTCTTTGTGACCCGCCGCTAAGTTTCTGATCCGTATAGAAGAACCGACTGACTTGACGTTTGTATTGAAAATCCGAATCATTTTGTTGTTGATGCAGGCTGAGTGACGAAGATTTCCAGATTGGTTTCAGGTTGATGGATGTTTTTCTCGCCTTCTCGATTCGACATCCTCGTCCGTTCCTCCTGTAGTTGGGACAATGCTCCCTAGATAAGTGAATGAAGTAACCTCTTTCAAATCCCTCCCGTACTAGTCAATAGTAAGCTGTAAAAAAGCGGAAGGTTAAGGGGGACGTGAACCTAACGTCCACAAAACAATACTATTGGTCTTGAAACTTCAAAGTATGAGATTCTTGAATCCCTATGCACCAATAGCAATGCAAAGCAATATCATTATTTTCTCTGATAAAAATGAATGTTGTTCCCATTGTCACAGCAGAAGACAAGACACAGAAGCCAAGGCTTATTTTCAGGTGATCGAACAGATATTTATATCCATACAGCTTATATTCGTTAACCAATCACTGAGCGTGTGATTTTGGTTTACATTAAACAACATGAAATAGAATGTTCAAATATATATATATATATATATATATATATATATATATATAGTATTCTGTTACTAACTCACTATGGAACTGTGGAAATATATGAGAATCATATTCCGTTGGAACAAATTGGCTGTATCACACTACCACACTCGTCCCCCCTCCCATCAAATACTTTAGACTGAAGGTGTTCTGATCTTCTTGGTGCTAGTGTCTTTGTTTGCTTGTCTTGCTTTATCGCTGACGTTCACCTGCACCTCTTTATTTGAACTTCTGATGGTATATATACGTGACCCCGTCTCGCGGTAACCGTGTATAACCCTTCCCAGTTTGGAAACAGTTTGTGTTACCCTGAAGACTATTCGCCGGTGTTTCACCTCACACTATCATTTGCTGTCTTCTCCCGACATCTCAGCGGCGTTCCAAGTTACAACCTCTTCGCTGACAAATCTTCAACGACATTCAACTGTGCAACAGCCTCCAAGTTCTGCAAGAAGATCCATATACCTTAATGTCCGTAAAACGTTTGGCCATTGTGGAATAGATCAAATAAAGTATAATTGTATTTCGATAGTTTACACACAATGATAAGTTTTGTTATTGGTAATATTTCTAGCTAAATTACTTACTGCCCCTTGTTCACACCACTGTTGGAATTGTTTTGTTTTTTAATTCACACATTTATGATTTGTACTCATATATATGGTTCATTTCTATTTTTTGTTCATTCATTTTTGTGTATTCAGAATTATATTCCAGGTTGTTGACAGTTGTGCTACTGCGTCACCCTTGTTACATGTATCCGGTGTGACTGTTATGAATATAGATTCTGTTGTAAGTCTTTCTTTCCATTTGTTCATGTTAGTTTTTAGAATACAAACATTGTTCCAATCGATATTGTGGATTTTGTCCCATGCATGTGAAGCTATAGATGAATTTTTTTTCTCAATTCTTGTAAGCTTGTGTACCTGTTGGTGTTGACCTTTGGTTAGGTGTTTATGTTCATTCAGTCTTATTTTGAGTGATCTGGACGTTTGACCCACATATTTAGTCGGACCCCCGGGTTTCAAGATATCTGTTTGTAAATTACATTACTGCTTTTATCCATCATTTTTATTTTATTTTTAATTAGATTCATCGGTCTGAACGTCGTGCGAATCCCTATGTTTTGAGGTTTCTTCGACTTTGGTTTCGCACAACGTTCAGACCGATGAATCTAATTAAAAATAAAATAGATCAACTGAAAGATCCAATAAAAATGATGGATAAAAGCAGTAATGTAATTTACAAACAGATATCTTGTGCCAAGTGTCCGACTAAATATGTGGGTCAAACGTCCAGATCACTCAAAATAAGACTGAATGAACATAAACGCCTGACCAAAGGTCAACCGACAGGAACTTAAGTTTACAAGAATTTAGAAAAAATTCATCTATAGCTTCAAATGCATGGGACAAAATCCACAATATCGATTGGAACAATGTTTGTATTCTAAAAACTAACATGAACAAATGGAAAGAAAGACTTATAACAGAATCGATATTCATTAAGATCACACCGGATACATGTAACAAGGGTGACGCAGTAGCACAACTGTCAACAACCTGGAATATAATTCTGAATACAAAAATATGAATGAACGTAGAATATAACTTAAATACAAAAAAAATGAATGAGCAAAAATAATGAACTATATATATGAGTACAAATCATATATGTGTGAATAAAACAATTCCAGCAGTGGTATGAAAACGGGCAGTAATTTTGCTCGAAATATTACCAATAACAAAACTTATCATTGTGTGTAAACTATTGAAATATAATTATACTGTATTTCGTTCCCTATGTCTTCTTCTTCTTCGTAATCTGCAGGGCATTGGCTGTTCATTTGTCTGCAGGTAGCGACAACAAATGTAACAGCAGAAGGCAAGACAAGGAAGCCTCCAAGGCATATTTTCAATTGATCGAACAGATATTTATATCTATACAGTTTATATTCTTTAACTAATCACTGAGCATGTGATTTTGGTTTTTACATTAGATGGTTGGAGGCAATCGGCAGGAAGCCTTGGACCTAGGTTTCGTGCTAGTTGGCACTCATCAGCAAGGTGTATCTGCAACCTTGAAGGAACTAATGTCCCTTCTGAGATTCGAACCCGCGTCACCCAGTGCTGCAGTCAGAGACGTTACCACTGAGCTATTCAGGCTCGCGACTGACCTCCTGTAGGACTGTATTGGATATTTTTGATTGCACACTAGTCAGTAACTAGTGTAATGCGTCTAGTCCTATCTTCGGTGCAGACTGAATTCTATCAGTCATGTTTGCAATGTGGCCACCATGCTAGGTGGCTCGCCATTACGGTGCGCTGTGAATTGTTGGTATTAGCTCAGTGGTAACGTCTCTGACTGCAGCACTGGGTGACGCGGGTTCGAATCTCAGAAGGGACATCAATTCCTTCAAGGTTGCAGATACGCCTTGCTGATGAGTGCCAACTAGCACGAAACCTAGGTCCAAGGCTTCCTGCCGATTGCCTCCAAACATCTAATACCAACAATTCACAATGCACCGTAATGGCGAGCCACCTAGCATGGTGGCTACATTGCAAACATGACTGATAGAATTCAGTCTGCACCGAAGATAGGACTAGACGCATTACACTAGTTACTGACTAGTGTGCAATCAAAAATATGGTTTTTACATTGAACGAATGTTCAAATGCCATATTGAACTTTGTAAATATATGTGAGAATAATATTCCGTTGGAACACATTGTCTGTATCACACCACCACCACCACACCATTACTCTCTTTTTTATCTAATGACTAAATCTTGTGTACTCCCTATTTTTTTACTTTTCAGCTCGTGTTAACTTCAATGAGTCAGATGTGGACACAATCGATTCATATATGAATCTGTTAGAGGAGAAAATATCATCGTATAAGATGATGAAAACTAAATATGAGTAAGTGGTGATTATTTTTTGTTGTATATATAATCAAATATGTATCTCTGTGTACATAGAATCATGTGCAAACGTGTTTATTTACAAGATGAAATTGAAGATTATAAAGAGGAGGTGAGTAAATTTCATATAATATTCATGGTGTTTTTAGCATACCAAGGCTGTATCCCTAAAAGATTGTATAAAAGTCGAAAAATCTGCCTGCTTGTCGATTATCAAAGAGCTACGACTTCTTCTCGGTGGGCTGGGATCTCCATCAACAACATAATATCAACAATTTTAATTCATCATATAAAATTGTATAAAATTATTACTATTTTTTAAAAATAAATTATTTATCTTTTTCTCTATTGATTTACTTTAAGTCTTCAAGTGTTTGTTTGCAGAGTTTTGACTGATTTCAAGTTTTTAGCACGAATTGATGTCAGTTAGAGAACCACTGAAAGTCATGGAGTAATGAAAAGCTGTTCCTTCCCAGTCTGTGACTATTCGGCAGTATGCACTCATGATCGTACCACTAGGAATCGAACCTTGCACCTTCACGTTATGAGGTGACCTCACTAGGAAGTAATCCAAATGAAACGACAGAAGACAAGAGTTAGGCAACAGATCGTTTATTGAGGGAATCAACAGATATTTATATATTTTTATGTGTATTATTATTCGTTATTACTAGCAAAGAAACAGCGTCTTCTGATTGGTTGTTTTCTCGCTGAAAGTTAATCTGTTATCTCTGTGTGGCCATTTCTTTGAAGGTCAAACGATATATCTACGAATCGTATCCGCCCACGCAAAGTCTGCTGTGATTGGTTGTTGAGTTAGTCTTTGTTCTTGTGTTTTTTCTCATGACCAAGATTTGAGACGTAAACATTGACGTGTAAATTGCTGTCTACCAATTTTGGCAAGCAGACAGCTGTCAACACACAACGACCCCAAAATTGCAACTGCTATCAAATCACCACCAGCCAGTGTCGTCAGTGAGTAATCGAACTAATCAAATCTCAACCTAGTGCTCACCAGTTACTGACTACCCGATGGATGAAGTTCTCGTGAGAAGTCGTGATCAATTGAGTCCACTGAATTGAGTGTGAGGATTAATTATTCACCTATGAAATTGATTGGTGGCGGCGCTATGTGTCGTGAATTGACCGAAGTTAAAATTCATCAGTTGGATTATTGAATTTTGTCCAATTGTGTGAATAATCAATGAGCTGGCCTCGTAACCTGAAGGTCATCGGTTCAGTCCCCAGTTGGATCATGAATGCGTACTGGTGAAAAGTCACAACTTATGACAAAGTAGCTGTCTATCAATCCTAGAGAGCTTTCAATGTTGTTATTTCTAAAACTTGTTTCATGGAACTGTGGTTTATCATGTATTCGTATCGTTTAAGTCAAAGAGTGATGTAATTTATTACAGGGGTTTATTTTCACTTTGACCCATCTAGAATAACTTCATTGTAAACATCTGAGCGATTTTTTCAAACTGCTTTTCTATTCACGACTAAGTCAGCTGTGGCCCATTTTAGGCGCGTAGTTTATGTGCCCCGTACCCTTTTTAAATACCTGTAAGTTTAACCCCCAAACGATATAGATTGTGCGAGGAATACAATTCTCATGAATAATCTTCATCCAGACATTAATGAAAACAAGACAAGTGGTGTTCGGGGAAGAGGTTCTTTTCGGCGAATTCATTTTCCCCTTCTAGCAGTACACTCCCATTTGTATGCAATTTTTCTCCACTAAAGATTTCAGCAACAAAAGTATTTTTTGATTATAGCCTGATTCCACACCGTATTATTGGTACAAGTATGGAATTTTCAGCATATGATATCGATAGCCCAAGTTTTGCAAGCCGACTATCTTCTTCTTTTTCGACATAGAACTTTGCACATATGTGCAGCAGTTCAAGTCTCCATGCTTCACTCAGCACACGAAGCAAGAGAAGAAAGTAGAAGAAATACATATTAGAGACAGTAAACAGAGGTGTGAGACAAAGGAATAGTAATAACGAAGAACACTATAGTTCCATTGGAAATCATAAGTCACAGTGAGTGGATGCATCTGCGCCACTGAGAGAGATTTTGAGCCATGTCACCAATCGTTTCCAACCATTGGTTTTTACCGTCCCGACGACCCCAACCAGGAAGTCTACATCTCCCTACGTGGCTTAGACTGACTGTTGTATATTTCATTGACTGGTGCCATGCTTTCGTTTGACCGCCGCTAGCTCTTTTCCAGCCTGGCCCTATATCAGCTAACATTGCCCGTCGAGGAAGGCGATGACTAGGCATACGTAACACATGTCCTAACCATCTCAGTCGATGTAATTTCACAGTCTCGTTGACTGATTTTGCCTCCTTACCTAGCACTCGACGCCCAACCTCAATATTGCTCACCTTATTATGACACTTCACACGGAAGATAGAACGCAGACACCTATGATCGAAGACAGCTAATCTTTTCATGTCTTCCGCTCTCAATGGCCAGGTCTCACAGCCATAAAGGAGGACGGAGCGTACTGTTGAGCAGTACACACGCCCTTTGGTCAATAGTCGGATATCACGTCTACTAAGCCAGAGTCGGCGTAAACTGGCATATGCGAACCTAGCCTTCTGTATTCGTGCTGAGATTTCGTCGGAGATCAACCCGTTGGGGCTGATGGTACTTCCCAAGTAAGTGAAGTGGTCAACGTGCTCTACCACTTCACTTCCTATTTCTAATCTAGGGGTCGGTGTGGTTCAATCCTGCAACATCATCTTACATTTTACATGGGCCGAATATCGATATCAGGTGTGCGTCGGCAGGTAATCGAACCCCGGACCATGTGCATGGTTGGCGAGAGTCCTAACCGCTGTGACACCGACACACAATTATACTTGTTAATATTTGTTAACGCCTAAAGGGAGTTGGATAAATAGTATATTAGAGTTACGTAATAAGATGAATAATTAAATGAATGAGTTGTAATCATGATGCACATTTTAACGAAGAAAAACGTGAAATTACGTAGGAGTTCTAAAACAATAGCTTTGAAAACTCAAAAAAACCAAAATAACATTAATGGGGATAGGCTTGATTGTAACCATGATAGTAGAAGTGGTTGAATAATTTTTGTCTGTATCTGCAGAACAGATTTCTTTATCTGAATGGCCAGAACTTTAACAATGCAAAGGCAGGTTATTTTTCACTTTGTAGACTACCTTTAAAGAGGCGTTTGTTGAAATGTAATGCCAAGTGTTGCTAAGGTTTTTGATTATTGCACTCCTCTATATAGCCACTCTATAGCTTTCTGCAACTATGCTCGATAGTGTTCTTGTACTCTTTTATACAGGATACACGTCGAGCAATCATTACACCTGGCTCTACAGGAACAGGTAAACTGATATATACACATACAAGTGGTCATATGCGAGTTCTTGTCTTTCTGGCTACTGAAGAGAACTGCTTTTAGCATTCTTGTGAAGAATTCTTACTCCTAAGCACTTCGTGGATTAAGTCTCCCTTTAAATTCAGGTTCATGCAGAGTTCTGTTGATGTTCTTTTGATACAGGTATTGTTTCCTTCCACTGGGCTTTCTGTTCGATATTCTTGACATTGAATCTAGGTGGGTATTCATTTTGGATAATTTCCTTCAGAAGGTCTAGTTCTGTCTCTAGATCATCAGGAGTACAGATGCGTCGGAGTAGAATGGCAGTGAATTTGACTAAATTTTGTTCAACAGTCATCCTACCGTTGAAAATTGCTTGTTGACCGTTTCTAGTGGGTCTCAGTTTTATCCTATCATCACAAAGGTAACATCAATCAACGCTGAAGGAACCCATATTCTGTACTACTGTGCAATCGACAATACTGTATTTATCAAGAGATGAGAACTATTAATTAAATGACAGTTGTGACCGGAACTATGACCTGGTAGACTATGAACGAATACGAACTTAATGCGCTGACTTATCTGTCCTAATGCACGTCAACAACAACGTTAACACCACTGGGCCGCAAAAGACAGAAGAAAAGACTAGACGTTGATAAGAGAGATTTTACTGTCTCAAAGCAACAATCAAAAGAGAGTCGAAAGCGCTAGTGTGTACATTTATGTGTAAAATTATCTTGAGAAGCACCAATGTTATTGGAAAATTAAGGCAGTGAACAATCAATAGAATTTCAAACATCATCAGTAGCGTTAGAGGAAATTTGTTCATAAATGAATAAGTGGGTTGAGAGAAATACAAACATACATGTAAAAATGACATTTAGAAAATTAGGTCTGTAAGTACCACCTCCACTGTCAAAAAAGACATGGACTTGTACAATAAAATTAATACCTCTTCTTTCTTGGGTCAACTTGAAAATGTACTGTCGTGGATCTCTTGCGACTGGATTGCCTTCTGGGTTGAGATTCTTTTAGTTCACTAACTCACGTTTTTGTACCTTCGTATCCACCGGAGGTAGTTTAAGTGTATCAAGTAAGATATCTAGAGGTATCTCAGGTTTTAATGATGTCCTGTGGAGCTCTCCTAATCAGTTTTTATGTCTCATCCACGTTTAGTAAACCAGTGTACCCTCGTACGAAACAGCTCCAGGTTAACGTTTAATCCGGCCTTTTGCTCATTTCTCTCCTCCTGGGCGATAATCTCGAGTATAGACAAGATCGCCGTTCTGGAAATAAACCACAGTACTGTTCCGATAATTTCGCTGTGATAAGATCTAAGCTGTGGGTTTGGGAACAGTGGAAGTAGGGACTTTTGGTGTTGCTGCGGGTGTCTTTGTGCCGGATAGTTTTGGCAGTAGTGCTACTTCTGGAGACGACTCTGAAGGTATTGGTTTCTGAGGCTCTGGTAACTTCTTAACAGTTACTTGGGGTGCAGTCGTGACGCTTGGTCGTAGGTTCACTTTCTTGGCTTTTCTGCGTCTTGATTTAAGCCGGGACCAGGCCTTGAATAATTGGAGTGACCTCAAATAATTTCTCGCTTCAACTCTGTGACATGTGCTGTCGAAGGGGATTTCCGAGAGTTGCAGGCTTTCAAACCAATCCAAACCCAATGAATTCAGGTTTGCGAAATCTACAAAGCATGCACCGATAAATTGGATCTCATGGAACCTGACAGTCCACTTTGACTACCCTGTCGAAGGGAGTTTTCCACCACTTGCATTGATGGCTATCTGGTCAGTCTTCTCCAAAGTGAGTTAACCCAATCGTCTACATAGCCTCTTCGATGATATCGTAATGTTGGATACCGTGTCTATCTGCAAACGTGCTGGCTGTGAACTGACTACTACATCAGCATATTTACGTTGGGCAGATTCGCTGATGTGGCGGGCAGTTGTGATGCTCATGGATTTCAG